AGCCACCCGATGTCACATCCCTGAATAGTGATGCAAAAATCCTTGACAAAATACTAGCAAACCAAAATCAGCAGCATATTAAAGGATAATACTCTATAGCCAAGTAGAATTTATTCCTGAGATGCAAGGATGGTTCAATATACAAAAATCAAGCAATGTAATATACTATATTAACAGAATGATGGAAAAAATCCACATGATCATCTCAAATGGTGAAGAAAAGAATTTGTTAAAATTCAACACTTTTCATGACATAACTCAACAAACCAGGAACAGAAGCAAACTATGTCAACATAATAAGGGACCTGTATGAAAAGCCCCCAGCTGACATAATACTCAATGGTGAAAGACTATTTCAAACTCTTACTCTGAGATCAGGAACAGGACAAGAATGTCTGCTTTTGCCACCTTTATAGGCTTTAGTGCTGGAAGTCTTAGCCAGAGCAATGAGGCATGAAAGAGAAAAACATTCAAAGAGGAAGAAGTAAAATTACCTTTGTTTGCAGATGATATGATCTTATAATCAGAAAACCCTAAATATTCCACAAAAAACCCTTTTAGAATTAATAAGTGAATTTGGCAATGTTGCAGGATACAAAATCAACACACAAAAATCCAATGTGTTGGGGCACCTGGCTGGCTCAGATGGTTGGGTATCTGCCTTTGGCTCAGGTCATCATCTCCGGGTCCTGGATCGAACCCCACACTGGGCTCCCAGCTCAGTGGAGAATCTGCTTCTTCCTTTCCCCCTGCTTGTATTTTCTCTGTCTTGTCTCTCTCTCTCAAATGAATAAATAAAATCTTAAAAAAAAAAAATCAGTTGTTCTTCTACATATTGACAACGAATGATCTGAAGAGGAGAAAAAATTCATTAACAGTAACATAAAAAAATAATAAAATACTTAGGGAAAAAATGTAACAAGGAGCTGAAAGCCTTGTACTCTGAAAATGACAAAACACTGCTGAAAGAAATTAAAGACGACACTAATAAATGAGAAAACATTCCACGTTCATGGTTTGGAAGACTTAATACTGTTAAGATGGTAATACTACCCAAAACCATCTACGGATTCAATGCAATCCCTATCGAAATTCCAATGGTGTCTTCTGGAGAAACAGAAAAACCCATCCTAGAATTCATATGGAACTTCAAGGGACCCCAAATAGACAAAACATTCTTGAAAAAGAAGGGCAACATTGGTGGTCTCACACTTCATGATTTCAAAACTTACAACAGAGCTACAATAATCAAAACAATATGTATGGACCAGTGGGGGTAATGGTGTGGTACTGACATAAGGATGGACATGACCAATGGAAGAGAACAGAGCGCCCAGAAATAAACCTTCACATATACAGTCAAATGTCTTTCAACAAGGGTGTCAAGGCCATTCAGTGGGGAAAGGACAACAAATGATGCTCAAAAACTGGATATCCACATGCAAAAGAAAGAAGTTGGACCTTTACCTTACACCATATACAAAAATTAACTTAAAATGGATCAAAGAGTTACACATAAGAACTAAAACTATCAACTCTTAGAAGATGGGAAAAGTTTCATGACATTGGATTTGGCAATAGTTTCTCACTTGTGATACCAATAACACAGGCAACAAAATTAAAAAGAGATATATCGGACTACATAAACATTTAAGAACTGTATATCAAAAGACACTATAAAAAGAATGAAAGGACAACCCACAGAATGAGAGTTTACAAATCATATATCTGAACAGAGATTAATATCCAGAATATGTAACAAACTCCTACAACTGAACAATAAAAAATAAATAACCTGATTTTAAAATGGGCAAATGACTTGGAACGTCTGGGTGGCTCAGTCGGTTAAGTGTCTGCCTTCGGCTCGGGTCATGATCCCAGAGCGCTGGGATCAAGTGTCCCACTGGGCTCCCTGCTCTGTGGGGAACCTACTTCTCCCTCTGCCTCCTGGTCCCCCTGCTTGTACAGTCTCTCTCCCTGACAGATAAATAAATAAAATCTTTAAAAAAAAAATGGACAAAAGACTTGAACAGACATTTCTCCAAAGATACACAAATGGCCAATAAGGATATGGCCATATCCAGTATCACTAGTCATTAGGGAAATGCAGGTCAAAATCACACTGCGATATGAATACACACCTACTAGGATGACGACTATCAAAAAAGCAGAAAATGACATGTGCTGGGGAAGATGTGGGGAAACTGGAACACATGTACATTACTGGTGGGAATGTAAAAAGATGTTACTCCTATGGAAAACATGATTCCTTGAAAAATTAAAAGTAGACTTCTCATATGATCCAGGAATTCCACTTCTGGGCATACACCCGAATGAACCGAAAGCTGAGACTCCACCAAGTATTTGTACACTTGTGTGCACAGCAACACTATTCACAACAGTCAAAAGGCGAAAGTAACTCAGCTGTCTGTGGACAGATAAATAAACGAAAGGTAACATATACATATAATGGAATAATATTCATACTTAAAAAGGAGGGAAATTTTTTTTTTAAGATTTTTTTTTTTTTAATTTCTTTGACAGAGACAGAAATCACAAGTAGGCAGAGAGGCAGGCAGAGAGAGGAGGAAGCAGGCTCCCTGCTGAGCAGAGCCCAATGCGGGGCTTGATCCCAGGACCTTGAGATCATGACCTGAGCTAAAGGCAGAGGCTTAACCCATTGAGCCACCCAGGCACCCCGGAAATTTTTTTTTTAAGGATAGAAATGTTTACACATGCTACAACACAGAAAAAACTTAATGATACATGCTAAGTGAAATCAACCAATCACACAATGACAAATGCCGTGTGATTCTACTTCTATAAGGTACCTAAAGTAGTCAAATCTATAGAGACAGAAAGAGGATGGCAGATGCCAGGGGCTGGGGGTGAGAGAATAAGGAGTTAGTGTTTTTTTTTTTTTTTTAAAGATTTTATTTATTTATCACAGAGAGAGAGAGAGAGAGAGAGAGCGCCCGCACAAGCAGGCAGAGGCAGAGAGAGAAGCAGGCACCCCGCTGAGGAAGGAGCCCAATGTAGGACTTGATCCTAGGACCCTGGAGACAGCAGCTTAACCAACTGAGCCACCCAGGCATCCCAGGAGTTAGTATTTAATAGCACAGAGTTCAACTAAGGAAGATGAGGAGTTCTGGAGGTGGCTGGTGGTTAAGTCTGCACAACGTAAATATACTTCATGCCATTAACTTGTACACTTAGAAAAGGTTAAAATGGTAAATTTTATGCTACGTGTATTTTACCATAATTAAAAAAAAAAAAAACCTCTTTTTAAAATAGAGAGCACTTCCCCATACCCCTGGGGCTAATAATACATTATATGTTAATAAAAAAATTTTTTTAAATAAATAAATAAATAAAATAGAGAGCACTTCAAAAAGTTAGCCGGGTGGGGGTGGGGGGGGGGCGCCTGGGTGGCTCAGTGAGTTAAAGCCTCTGCCTTCGGCTCAGGTCATGATCCCAGGGTCCTGGGATCGAGCCCTACATCGGGCTCCCTGCTCAGTGGGGAGCCTGCTTCCCCCTCTCTCTCTCTGCCTGCCTCTGTGCCTACTTGTCATCTATGTCTGTCAAATAAATAAATAAAAAATCTTAAAAAAAAAAAAAAAAGCCTAGGAAAGAGAAGAAATTTGAAGCTACAACCACTTCACACTCTTAAGGAAATTACATACAGTGTGCTTTCCCTAACAGGATCTAAGGTACAGTACCTGGCTGGCTCCGTCAACAGAGGTGGAACTCTTGATCCTGGAGTTGAGTTTGAGCACCACATCGGGTGTAGAGATTACTTAAAATTAAATAAAGGGGGGTGGGGGACCTAAGGTATCACAATGAGATATAAAAGGACACTGGCAGAGCTAAGGGAAAAAACTACAAAGTAAATAACGATCTCACAAAAGTAAAAATTAAATAGAAAAAGAGCAGAAATGCTATTTTGGAATACCTGGTTGGCTCAGTCAGTTACGCAAAAGCCTTTGGTTCAGGTCATGATCCCAGGGTGCTGGGATTGAGCCCCGAGCCAGGCTCCCTGCTCAAGGGGGAGTCTGCTTCTCCCTCTTCCTCTCCCCACTCCCTTGTTCTCTGTCTCTCTGTCTCTCTCCCAAATGAAGAAATAAAATCTTAAAAAAAAAAAAAACAAACCTGTAACAGAGTAATAAGGAAGAATGAGGGGCGCCTGGGTGGCTCAGTGGGTTAAAGCCTCTGCCTTCGGCTCAGGTCACGATCTCAGGGTCCTGAGACCGAGCCCTGCATCTGGCTCTCTGCTAAGCGGGGAGCCTGCTTCCTCCTCTCTCTCTCTCTCTCTCTGCCTACTTGTGATCTCTGTCAAATAAATAAATAAAATCTTTAAAAAAAAATAACAAAGAATGAAAGCTTCCCAGCCATTTCTATGACACCAACACAACCAAGATACTAAACCCTGACACAGATTATTTACTAATGAGCTCTCTATGAAAAAGTTCTAAACAAAACATCATCAAATATCCAGTAGGACTTTAACATGCACTCACCCACGCGCATGCGGACCCACACAGACATCCCATAAATATGTGGAGCTTGATCTTGAGGTGCAAGAATAATAGGATATTAGGAATGCTATCAATATGATTTCCCACATTAGTAGATCAGAGGAAATAAAAATTGTATTTGACAAGGCTCAAACGGTACACTTAAGATGTGTGCATTTCTTTAAAAGTAAATTTTACCCCCAAAAAAGAAAGTCTTAAACCGATATGGAACTCTACTTAGTGATATGAATGCTGAAGCAGTTAAAAGTGAAGTATGTGGATATCTGTAAGTTACTTTGAAATGCATCCCCAACAGAACCTGGATGGACAGAGCGATGGATGGGTGGGTAGATGTAACCCATTAGGTTACAACTTAAATTCAAAATTACATAATTTAATCCAAAGTAAGACACTTAAAAGGTGGAAGACTTGGAAAGCCTCACCTCTGTGGGGAGATGTGCAGCGAGGAGAGGGGTCTGCACTTACCTACAGACGGGGAGGTGAAGGCCGCGACAATCTGCGGCGAGGCCAAGGCCTCCAGCCTGTTCTTCAGCGCCTCCAGATGCACACATTTTTCTGAGTAGTCTGGCGTATCAACAAGCATCATTAAGCTGTTCTGCATACCGGTCAGCTTGGCAGAAATCACAGCTATGTCCTATGAAAGGCCAGGACAGAAGATATTTATTTTAAAAGACCCCAGGTCCTTCAGGAGCGCCTGGGTGGCTCAGTTAGCTAAGCATCTGCCTTTGGCTCAGGTCATGATCTCAGGGTCCTGGGATTGAGTTCTGTGTCAGCCTCCCTGCTCAGCAGGGAGTCTGCTTCTCCCTCTCCCTCTGCCCCTCTCCCCTGTTCATGCACTCGCTCTCTGTCTCTCTCTCAAATAAATAACCTCTTTAAAAAAAAAAGAAAGAAATGAAAGACCCCAGACACTTCAATAAAAACAGACAAAATACAGGAAAAGGCAGTTCATGTAATAAGAAAATGGCCCATAAACTTATTATGTTCAATATGATCAGCAGTCAAATCAATGGAAATTAAAACAAGAGTTTTCCTCCTAACAAAGTGGAAAACCCTAGAAAAAATTATGATAGCTATTGTTGGTGAGGGTGTGAAGAAGAAAAGAGTCTGGTTCCATAAATTTATACTGTCTTTCTAGAAGGTAATTTAGCAATTTGCATCAATCACTGAAAATTATTCAGGCGCCTGGGTGGCTCAGTCGTTAAGCCTCTGCTTTTGACACAGGTCATGATCCCAGGGTCCTGGGATCAAGCCCCACATTGGGCTCCCTGCTCAGTGGGGAGCCTGTTTCTCCCTCTCCCACTCCCTGTGTTTGTGTTCCCTTTCTTACTGTGTCTCTATCAAATAGATAAATAAAATCTTTTTAAAAAAATGGAAAATTATTCACACCATTTTTTTATTAAAGATTTTACTCATTTATTTGAGAGAGAGAGAGCACCGTGCATGAGAAGGGGGCTGAGAGGGCAGTGCAGAGGGAGAATCAGACAACTCACCAAGCACAGAGCCCAATGCGGCAAATCCCAGGACCCTGAGATCATAACCTGAGCTTCACGAAGGCAGATGCTTAACTGACTGAGCCACCCAAGCACCCCTCACATCTTTTGACCTCGTGTTTCCTTTTCTAGAAATTTGTCCTAAAGAAACAATTGGGGGGCTGCCCAGCTGGCTCAGTTGGTGTACCATGATCTCAGGGTGGTGAGTTTGAGCCCAACATTGGGTGTAGAGATTACTTAGATATAAAATCTTTAAAAAAAGAAAGAAAGAACAATCAGAAGGACACAGAGATATTCATGGATTCTAATTAATTAATGTGATTCTAGTGTTGTAGTAACAAAAGCCTGGAAGCAACCTAAATCCTAAAGGACGAGTCACTCATAATGACATGGGGAATATGTGCACACATTAAAAATCGTGTTTTTGAGAAGTATTAATTACAAAGGGAAATAAGACTTTCTATTAAGTAAGATCTTGTTTAGATAAAAAATAGACACTAGAATATATGTAATGTCTGTATACCAGTAATACATAATATATACAAAATACGTAAGCACAAATATGGATAAATACATAGAAAAAATACCCAGTACACATTTAAAAAAAAAACTATTAGTGTGCACAGGAATAGGATCATTTTGTTTTCTGCCTTGTACTTTCTGGAATTTTCCAAATCTTCTAAGACACACATAAATTATGTTTAAAATTAGAAAAATAAATGCTGTTTTTTAGAAGAATTCAAGGTATAGTAATTGTGTTTCATTTCATCACTCCACAGGTGTCTATATCATGTCAGACACTGTATTAGATGCCTGAGACACAAAGAAGCTCACATGGCAGCCCCTGAGTTCACAGCGTATTGGGACAGCAAGATCAGGAAACAATTTTTTTTTTTTTAAAGATTTTATTCATTTATTTGACAGAGATCACAAGTAGGCAGAGAGAAAGGAGGAAGCAGGCTCCCCGCGGAGCAGAGAGCCCAATGCAGGGCTCGATCCCAGGACTCCGGGATCATGACCAGAGCCGAAGGCAGAGGCTTTTAACCCACTGAGCCACCCAGGCGCCCCAAGATCAGGAAACAATTTAAGGAGTACGGTTCAGGTGCCAGCAGGCACAGGGGAGGGAGTAAGTGAGTTTGCCCGCGAGAGGCCAGGAGCCAGCAGGGATGCCGACTGCTGCAATGGTTTAGCGGAAGGACAACGGAAAGCATGACCAGAGTGGTGGCAGAGGTACCCAACAAACAGACAACCGCAGAGAGAGGTCCCAGGATGTGAAAGGCCCCCCCACCTGTGTTCCACACTCCCATTTCATCCATTTTCTCTGCCTTTTCCATGGAGGTGTCTCCTGAACTCTGTGACTGAGAAGGTCTTCAGTCAGGTGGGAGATACCAACTCCAGAAGGTGGAAAGACCCAGAGCAACGGCAGGTCTTCCCACTCCTTGCCTGTGCGTTTCCACATGCTGCGTTTTCCAATCCCTTGCGGGTTCGGGGAAATGACTTTCTTGTTTGTGTCTCCGAACCTCAAGTGCCTGCCTACCCGGCCTGCGGACATGCCCTCAACTAAAGACCTACCTGAGTCTTTTTTTTTTTTTTAAACATTTTATTTATTTATTTGACAGAGAAAGATCACAAGTAGGCAGAGAGGCAGGCAGAGAGAGAGAGAAGGGGGAAAGCAGGCTCCCTGCTGAGCAGAGAGCCCGATGCGGGACTTAATCCCAGGACCCTGAGATCATGACCTGAGCTGAAGGCGGAGGCTTAACCCACTGAGCCACCCAGGCGCCCAAGACCTACCTGAGTCTTGAAGGTCTCCTCGATGTCGGCACTCAATGTGCTCCACTTGTCCGCTTCCTGAAGGGACTCGGCCGCGAGCTGCATTCTGGACTTCACCTGGTCGATTTCTACCAATACCTAAAAGAGAGATGAGAGGGCAAAAACTAAGGAAGTGGCAGTTCCTTTATCTCTGGCCTCCGCCTGTGACAGGGAAACATAAGGCGTCACAGCACGCGCCTGTCTTGAGGGAGCTTCTGTGAATGTCTCCCCAAAACAAGAATCGGCATGAGGGACAGGAGCCGAAATACCTGCATCGACTGAGATGTATCCTGTTCAAATTTTTTAATGTCCTCCTTGACAAGAATCATCTGTTCTTTCAGAAAAGATGCTTCCTGTTTCAGGGCTTCGACATCGCGGAGCACTTTGGGCATGTTCTGAAGAGCCTGGTGACTTGTTTCTGTAGCAAGAACCCAAGAACAAAAAGTGAAAATCAGACCGGTCGCCAGTGGACAAGATGAACAGATCGTGAGCCAGGAAGGGAATTTTCCCCAAAGCACTCCCAACCACAGTTTTCTGAGCCTATGGAAGACAGGGAGGGGAGAGGAGGTGTGGACTCTGCCAGGACCATATCCTCCCAGTCTGCCCGATGTGGGCCATGTGATTTGACAAGGAAGGAACCATCACCCTGACCCAACATCAACGCTTCTCCACGACTGAGTTAAATTGAGAGTCCCTTCGTGAGGAGAGGAGATGAAAGATCTGACGCTGGGTAAATGCCAACTACGTAGCAGGTCACCTACAAACATTCTAGCACTGAATGTCCACAGGAATCACCAGCAGCCACCTCTTACAAATAGGAAAACTGAGGCTCAGAGAGGTTGAGTAATTGCCCTCAGATTTCACAGAGCTGAAACCAAACCTTACATGTGTCTGGCCCCAATGTCCACATTCCATGGTCTTTTTGAAATAGAGTCCACAGATGGCCAGTGCCAACTGGGGCACAGTTAAATGCAGGTCTCTAGGCACCTGCCAGAGTTTCTCATTGAGCAAGTCCAGTAGGAGACCGGGTGACATTAAGAAAGCTGCATGTTTTAAACAAATGTCCCAAACACAGACTACAACGTGCACATCTCTGGGCCCTATGATGTGTTACGTGGAATTGGGAGAGCTAATGGCGTACCCCTCTGACCCTTTAAAGGGCAATTCACCGGGGAATCAATAAGTCCACTGTCTTCTCTCTACCAGTGCGGTGAACGGAACCTGAACATTTTTTTTTAAGATTTTATTTATTTATTTGACAGACAGAGATCACAAGTGGGCAGAGAGGCAGGCAGAGAGAGAGAGGAAGGGAAGCAGCTCCCCGCTGAGCAGAGAGCCCGATGTGGGACTCGATCCCAGGACCCTGGGATCATGACCTGAGCCGAAGGCAGAGGCTTTAACCCACTGAGCCACCCAGGTGCCCCTAGAACCTGAACACCTTGAAGAAGTATTTCAGGAACCTGTTCGTCCAGCTGTGACACAGAGTAACAATCTGTTTCCAGCACTGACCCCAGGTAAAGTTCTAAGACTAAGAAAACAAAGACAGAACAAGGATTTCTTTCACACAGAGACTGACTTTGAACAATGCTGACTTTTAACAACATTTTTATAGCCCCAACCTTCTGCCAGCTAAACCTCAGTCACTCTTCAGCCCCTGCTGATCCCTCTTTTTCCTTCTCCACAACCCTCCCCGCCCCCGCAAACTTAATCCACTCTTTCTTCCATTTTTTTTTTCTTAAGATTTTATTTGACAGAAAGAGACACAGTGAGAGAAGGGAACAGAAGCAGGGAGAGTAGGAGAGGGAGAACAAGGCTTCCCGCCGAGCAGAGAGCCCGATGTGGGGCTGGATCACAGGACCCTGGGATCATGACCTGAGCTGAACGCAGAGGCTTAACCCACAGAGCCACCCAGGTGCCCCTAAAGCTTTATTTTTATGGAAGGTGAGACAAGGGCTCAAGTCTGCAGTGAAGAGAGGTTAATGCAGAGGCTCAAGGAGGGGTTGTTGAGGGCTCCAAATTGGAGGATTGATTTGTTCATTCATTCAGTCAACAAACATTTATTGGACACAAACTGTTTTCCAGGTTCCAGAGATACAGTTTCAAACAAGACCCCGTCCTAGGTTGGATCAGTTAACAGGTCAAGTGGGGGGTGGGGGGGAACCCACAAAAACCAAACAAGGACCAGATCATGCAGGGATTTAGTATCACATTAAAGAGTTTGGATTTGATATAAAATGAGTGTGAAGGAAAGGTACCAGAGGATTTTTAAGCAGGGGAGAGACCTGGATGGATTTTTGTCTCCATTTGAAAAGCAGCTGTCCAGAAGAATGGACTGTCTTTAAGTGGGCTTTAAGGCTTTAAGTGGGGTTATGGCAGTGGGCATGGTGAGAAATGGGTAGATTTAAGATATTTTTAGGAGGAAGAATGGGAAGAACTTGCTGATGGATTGGAAGGAAGGATGAGGGGGGAGAGCATCGAGAATTGTGGGTGGAGGTCCCACGCATACAGTAACTGTGAGAGAATTTGTAACGAGCATCCGTATACCCACTACCTAGATTCTGCAACGAACAGTGCAGTGTTCCTGCTCTGTCACAGATCTGTCCGTTTACCTGTCCCTCTCTCCATTCACCCATCTTTTTTTTAAAGATTTGTCTTTCTTTTTTTTAAAGGTTTTATTTATTTCTTTGACAGACAGAGATCACAAGTAAGCTGAGAGGCAGGCAGAGAGAGAGAGAGGAAGGGAAGCAGGCTTCCCGATGAGCAGAGAGCCCAATGCGGGGCTCGATCCCAGGACCCTGGGATCATGACCTGAGCCAAAGGCGGAGACTCAACCCACTGAGCCACCCAGGCGCCCCCATCCATCTTATTTTTTGATGTATTTCAAAATGAGTTGCAGACGTCAGTATGCTTTACTCCCGTACATTTCAGTTGGTACCCTAAACAATAGAATTCAGTACTTATTTACAGCTCTTTATTTTTTAACTAAATAAAATTTACATAAGGTGAAAGGCACAAGTCTTTTCTGATGAGCATAATGAGTTTTGACAAATGTATACAGCTGGGATAACCAAAATCTCTGACAAGAAGAATATTGTAGTGACCCAAGAAAGTACCTCCACTCCCCTTCACAGTGAAATCTGGCCCTTATCCTCCCAGAGGCAACCACTGCAAGTGATAGTTTTAAAATGGAAGAAAGAGGGGCACCTGGGTGACTCAGCCGTTAAGCGTCTGTCTTCGGCTCAGATCATGATCCCAGGGTTCTGTGATCCAGCCCCACATCGGGCTCTCTGCTCAGTGGGGAGCCTGCTTCCGCCTGCCTCTCTGCCTACTTGTGATCTCTCTCTCTGTCAAATAAATAAATAAAATCTTGAAAAAAAAATAAAGCTTTAAACCTCTGAAGGCTTCCCACTGCCTAGAGGCCAAATTCCAACTCCTTAAGATGACCAAAAGGGGACACCTGGGTGGCTGAGTCAATTAAGTGTCCCACTCTTTTTTTTTTCTTTTTTCCAAGAAAACCCCACCATATTCATTATCATAATTCATTTGGATAGGTTTTTTTTTTTTTAAGATTTTATTTATTTATTTGAGAGAGAGAGTGAGAGAGAGCATGAGGGGGGAAGGTCAGAGGGAGAAACAGACTCCCTGTGGAGCTGGGAGCCAGATGCAGGACTCGATCCCAGGACCCTGGGATCATGACCTGAGCCGAAGGCAGCAGCTTAACCCACTGAGCCAACCAGGCGTCCCAAGTGTCCCACTCTTGATTTCCGCTCTGATCATGATCTCAGGGTCATAGGATCGGGCCTGCTTCAGATTCTCTCTCTCTCCCTCTTTCCCTCTGCCCCCCCCTTCCCTGGGCACCCGCGCGTGCGCACACGTGTGTGCATATGTGTGCGTAAAGAATAAAAGAAAATAAAATGAAGGACAAAAATGCCTTTTATCCCAATCTACTCTTTTATCTTATCTCCAGAAGTCCTCCCCTCCCCCGGGGAAAGTGTGATCCTATAATAATAATGTTAATGACTAATGTTTGTTGATGTTACTGATGCAGCTCTGTTAGAATTTCTCACTCTTCTGTGGACTAGCTAGGCCTTTTTATACCCACATGGCTCTGCAGGTGCTGTTCTCTGTCCCTTTCATATCAGAGGTAGCAAGGTATAACGGGTAAGAGCCCAAACTCTGGGACCAATGCTTGGGTTCAAATCATGTTTCAAACTAGAAACATGATGCTGGGTCCGTGACCACTCAGCCACAGTCTCTACAACTATAAAGTGGGAACCAAAACTGCGCCCACCTCCCAGGATTATTGCCAGGTTTAAACTGGATAATTAGACTGAAAAGGGGCAACATTAGCATTTTGGCCAGGACAGTTCTTCATTGTGTAGGACTATCCAAGCATGCAGGACACTAAGCATCGCTAGGTATTTCCACTAACTGTCCCTCATTGTGACATTCCTCCCCATTGCAAGGACTAAAAAACATGCCTGACAACTTCCAGAAACTCAGGGGATGGTGGGGCTGGAAGGAGGGGACATGACCACCCCTGGTTTGAGAACCACTTAATTAATATATAAAAAGCATTTAAAAGAGTGACTGACACACACCAAGGACTCAAATATTGCTATCATTGTTATTAATGTCCTCCCCCTCTTTGCCCTATTAAGTCTTCCTTCAAGGCCTAACACAGTTGGAAAACCCTTTATGATTCTCCCAGATTAGGGGTGACTGCACACTTCTTCTTCCAGCTCTCATAGCTCCTGGTCCTACTTGCAGAAAAGCCATCCCTCATTGTAATTTAACTGTTTAGTATCTTCCCCACAAGGCAGCAATCTCCTGAAAAGTAAACTTTTTGCCCCCGGCCCGTGTCTGGGCACAGGTGTGGCAGATGCTCAATAATGAGTATTAGATGCAAAGCACAATAAAGAACCTGCAGTGAAATAAAGCTCCCCTCCCCCCAACATCAGCCTTTTCTTAAAGAGTGGACCCGTCTCTAAAGTAAAGTTCTACTTACTGGGTCACACACTTCCCTGCGGGACCTGTCTCTCCCACCAAGCCTAGCAGAGACTGGCGTGCAGTACGCATCTAAGGAACATACGGTGCCTAAAAATCGAGTTGAGGAGTTAATGCGAAGGTTGCTGGTGTGTATTATTTTTCAGTTAACGATCCTTGAAAGATGGTTCAAGTCTCTATTCAAGCCAGCCCATCTTCAAGGACATGAAGGTCCTCTAAAACAACGTTCCCCAGATTTGTGTCACTCCCACACCGCTTTGATATGCTTTTGCAAATTTAAGGACCAGGTGACGATTAGTTAATATTCTTGAAATTCACTCTTGGGACTTAAAGGAAACCTGATGGCACCGCCAGGGGTACAAGGCAAGCCCCGGCCTCGGCAAGCGTTAGACAGGCGGCAGCGAGCTGAGACCGGCCCCCGGCTGCCCCCCAAAGGTCTGCTGGAGGGGAGGAGAGGGGAAGGGAGGGGAAGGGAGGGGAGGGGAGAGGAAGGGAGGGCCGGGCTCGCCTTCCCACCGCGGGGTCCGCGCACGTCCACCGCCCCACGCGGGTCCCGGCAGCTCGGCCTCACCCTCCACGGCGTGGTTCACCTCCTGGATGAACAGCTGCAGCTTCATCACCAGGGTGGCCGCGTGGCCGTCTGCCTTCCCGGCCGCCGCCTCCTTGGAGCCGGTCCTGAAGGCCGCGTTGATCCACTCCTTCACGTCGAAGTCTTCCGCCAGGAACTTAGAGAAGTCCATGGCCGCGCCCGCTCTCAGCCCCGGCGTCCAGGCCTGATAGAGCTGGCTCCGGCGGCAACGAGGCTGTGGAGTCGGGCGGCCCTGAGAGGGCACCGGGGCTGGCCTGGGGGGCGGCAGGCAGAACCCACAGCGCCCACTAAACTCGTCCCTCCGCGTCGCCTCTGTGAACTCGCGGAGCAGCGGACTCCGAATGGCCCTCGCCGCGCGCCGTACTTCTTCCGGAAGTAGGTGGCCGTTACCATAGCGATGCCGGCGTTCCGGGCGCTCTGGAGAGCTGGGGACCGACCGGAGAGAGGCTCCCGGCGGAGAGCGGCTCGCTGCTTCTCTTGCTAACTTAAGTGCATGTTGAGCGCTTAAAGTATGTGCTTACTCTGAAGCCCTTACGTGCATTAGCGCACTTAAGAGTTCACTTTCCTACGAGGGCCGCTATTCTCCCCAAGGTAAAGAATCAAGAGGCAGCTGAGCAACTGGTTCAGAGTCAGGTCGCCAGAAAGTGGGACTGTGGGGCCTTGAACTGGGGCAAGCGGGCCACTGAAGCTTGAACTCTTTACACGCTCTCCTGCCTTCCTACAGAGAGCAGATGAATCTACGCGATCTGGCCTCAGCCCTCCCTATAGCCACATTGTCCTCCTGTCCTTTCCAGAAACGTACCACGCTGGAACTGGAACGTACCGGTTGCACCTGTTTTCTCTAGCCTCGTATGACGCCTCAGAAAAGAGAAGGCTTCCTTTGTGATAGTGTCATGAGAACCGAACATTTAAAAAATCCTTTGTGTATAATTGCGAATAGTTTTGCCATTTACCCTTCTCACGCCAGGCATACTCTGACTCAATGCATATGGTAGTTCTTGAAGACTCTGTATATCTAAGAACCCAAATCCACAAATCAGGAAAGCTAGTATACTGTTCTTGGTAGGAGCGTTGGAAGCCTTAGGCGCCTCTATAATATATCCCCTGGCCTCGCTGATGAACATTTTTTAAATAGCTTTACTAATAATTTACAGGATATAAAATTCACCCATTGTGGGACGCCTGGGTGGCTCAGTGGGTTAAGCCTCTGCCTTCAGCTCGGGTGATGGTCCCACCTCAGGTTCTCTGCTCAGCGGGGAACCTGCTTCCCCCTCTCTCTGCCAGCTGCTCTGCCTACTTGTGATCTGTCAAATAAATAAATAAAATCTTTTTTAAAAAATCACCCATTGTAAGTATACAATTCAATGACTTTTTAAGAATTTAGAGTTGGTCTATCTCCACAAGAACATTTCCATCAGCCAGAAAAGTTCCTTCCTCCTCATTTACACTTAATCTCTGCTTCCACACCAGGCCCTAGGAAACCACTCATCTGCCATCTCTATAAATTTACCTTTTGCGGACATTTCAGATTTCCATCTGGCTTGTTTTCGCGGAGCGTGTTTTTTGAGGTCTCTTTGTGTTGCCCCATGTATCGGTTTGTTCCTTTATGTTGTTGAATAGTATTCCATTGTGTGGATATGAATATTTAACCATTCACCAACTGATGGGCATTTATGCTGTTTCTAGTTTAAAGTCATTATGAATAATGCTGCTATGAATGTTCGGCCACATGCCTTTGTGTAGACAAGTTTTCATTACTTTTGGATATACTCTTAGAAGTGGAATTGCTAAGTTACAAGATAAATTTATGTTCAACTTTTTAAGAAACTGTCAAACTTACCCAGAGTAGCTGATACCATTTTACATTATCATCAGTAACATGTGAGGGCTCCAGCTTCGCTGTACCCTCACCTATTTCCGGTATATAATAGTAAGTCATTGTTGCTTTAGTCTGCATTTCCCTAATAACCAGAGATTTTGAACATCTTCTCATGTTATTAGCCATTCTTACATCTTCTTTGGTGAAACTGTATTCAGATCTTTTACCCATTTTCAAATGGGACTGTCTTCGTAATATTGGGCTGTTAGATATTTTACATATTCTGAATTCCCTTTTTTTTAAAAAAAAGATTTTATTTATTTATTTGACAGACAGAGATCACAAGTAGGCAGAGGCAGACAGAGAGAGAGAGGAAGGGAAGCAGGCTCCACGCTGAGCAGAGAGCCCAATGCAGGGCTCGATCCCAGGACCCTGGGATCATCATAACCTGAGCCGAAGGCAGAGGCTTTAACGCACTGAGCCACCCAGGCACCCCCTGAATTCCCTTTTTAATATGGTTCACAACTATTTTCTTCCAATCTGTATCTTGTCATTTTCTTAATGGTGTCTTTGAGGTGCAAGTTTTTAATTTTGATAAATTCCATTATCATTTGTTCTTTCTTATGGATCCTACCTTTGGTCTCGTTATCTAGCAAATCTTTGCCTAATACAAAATCATGAAGTTCTAAATTTTCTTCTAGAAGTTTTAAAGTAGTAGCTCTTCATTTATGTCCATGGTCCACTTAAAGTTTTTTTGTGTATGGTATGAGGTAGAGGCCTAAGTTTATTTTTTATTTTTTTTATTTTTATTTTTTTAAAGGATTTTTATTTTATTTATTTGACAGACGGAGATCACAAATAGGCAGGGAGACAGGCAGAGAGAGGAGGAAGCAGGCTCCCTGCTGAGCAGGGAGCCTAATGCGGGGCTCGATCCCAGGACCCTTGGGATCATGACCTGAGCCGAAGGCAGAGGCTTTAACCCACTGAGCCACCCAGGCGCCCCCTAAGTTTATTTTTTAAAGAATTAAAGTAACCTCTATAACCAGTGTGGGGCTCAAAGTTACAACCCCAAGATCGAGCGTCACATGCTCTACTGAGCCAGCCAAGCGCCCATCTAATTTTTTACATACATGTATACAGTTATCCCAAGATGACTTAGAAACTTTCCTTCTCCACTGAATTGCCTTAATGTCTTTGTCAAAAATCAAGTGATATAGATAGGAGGATTTCTGGACTTTTAATTCTGTTGCATTTTCTATATTCTTATAGTACCAATACCAAATTGTCTTGATTACCATAGTTTATAGTAAGTTTGGAAGTCTGATAGCGTCAGTCCACCCACTTTATTTTTAAAAATTGGGGCACCTGAGTGGCTCTGTGGGTTAAAGCCTCTGCTTTCGGCTCAGGTCGTGATCTCGGGATCCTGGGATCGAGCCCCACGTCAGGCTCTCTGCTCAGCGGGGGGCCTGCTTCCTGCCCCCCCACCTGCTTGTGATTTCTGTCAAATAAATAAGTATAATCTTTGAAAAAATTATTTTGCAGGGTGGCCCGGTTGGCTAAGCATCTGCCTTCAGCTCAGATCATGATCCCAAGGTCCTGGGATCCAGCCTTATGTTGGGATCCCTGCTTTTGGGGGAATACGTTTCTTCCTCTGCCCCTCCTGCCCTCTCTGGCCTGCTCTCTCACATGCACTCTCTCTGAAATAAACACAATCATTTTTTAAAGATTCTATTTATTTGAAAGAAAGAGAGAACATGAGTAGGGGCCAGGGGAAGAGGGAGAAGTAGCCTCCCCGCTGAGCTGGGAGTCTGATTTGGGGCTCCATCACAGAAGCCCGGGATCATGACGAGCTGAAGACAGACGCTTAACCGACTAAGCCACCCAGGTGCCCCTCAAATAAATAAAATCTTAAATAAAAATAAAAAATTGTTTTGCTACTCCAGACCTCTTGCATGTCCGTATACATCTTAGAACCCGCTTATCAATTTCTACACAAAAATGCTGCTGGAATAAGGATTTTATTGAACTTACACATCATTTTGAGAATTGGCATCTTGACAATATGGAGTCTTCCAATCCATAAATGTGAAATGCCTCTGCATTTATTTAGATCAGGATTTTCAACCTTGGTGTTATTCACATTCATGGCCACATAATTTTTTATTGTTCAGGCTGTCCTATGTTTTGTACAATGATTGGCTGCATCTCTGGCCTCTACCCACTAGATCCCAAAAGCATCCCTTCTCCCAAGTTGCGGCAACTAAAAATATCTCCGCACATTGCCGAAAATTTCTCAGTGCGAACAATCACCCCTGGCTGAGAACTTTTAACTTAAATCATCTTTCTCTCAGCAATACCTTTTGTTGTACATTGTAAATATCTTGCACTACTTTTGTTAAATTTATTCCAAAGTATTGCATTCATTTTAATGCTATTATGAATGTAATTAATTTCATTTCATATGTTCTTGCTATAGGAATCCAATTGATTTTTGTATATGTGTCTTGTACCCTTTGAACATTGATCAGTTCCAGTTATTTCTGTGCATATGTATTCCCTGGAATTTGGCTATGTACAGGTTCATAACATCTGTGAATACAGATTCTCCTTTCTCTTCCTTCTACTAACTGCACTGGTCAGAATCTTCAGCATAATATTGAGTAGAAATGGCAAGAGCAGACATCTTTGCCTTGTTCCCAGTCTTCGGCGTCCTTTTCAGTCCAATCCCTTTCTCAAGATGACCAAGTTCCCTTCTATTTCTAGTTTATTAAAATGTTGGTTAAAATACATATACTTTTTTGTACCTATTAGAATAATTGTGTGGTTTTTGCCTTTTAGTCTATTCATGTTATATAGTAATTAACATTTGGATGGTAAACTGACCTTGCATTCCTAGGATAAGTTCTACTTGGTCATGATGTAGAATGTTACCAGTTTTGCTTTGATACTATTTTGTTGAGGACTTTTATGTCAATGTTCATGGGAGAAAACTGGTCTGTAATACTGTTTTTGTGATCTTTCTCTAATTTTGGTTTAAGGGTAATACTGGTCTTAGAATCATTTGGGAAATGATCCTTCCTTCTCTAGCTTCAGAGTTTGAGAACTGGGGAAGCCTCTTCTTTAAATATTTGGCAGAACTAACTGTGGAACCATCGGGCCTGGATATTTCTTCTTGAGAAGATTTTATTAATTCAACTTATAGACCTATTCAGATGTTCTATTTCTTCTTAAATCACTTGGTAATTCACGGCTTTCTAGAAACTTCTCCATTTCACCTAAGTTGGCATAAAATTATTCATAGTATTTCTTTATAATCCTTTCCAATTTCTGTAGAATCAGTAGTGATGTGTCTTCTTTCCTGAGTTTGGTAATTTGCCTTTTATTTTTGGTCAGTCTCCTATCTTGAACCATAAAATGTTCTTAGTAATAGAAGTCACTCATGGCAAAGCAACAAGATTGAAGTCGTCTGGGTGCCAGACATCATATGGACTGCATACAAACCCTAATCCCACTACCTCCAGGTTTTTGAATTTGAGAGAATTATGGTTGACTTGTGTCTCAAGTTAGGCATGAAATCCTAATCCCTAGTCCCTCAGAATGTGACCTTATCAATAGCATCACTACAGATATAGTTAAGATGTCCTACTAAAGTAGGATTGGCCCTTAATCCAATATGATCAATATAAGATGGTCACGTGAAGACACACCGGGAGCCCACATGACCACAAAGGGAGAGATAGGAGTTACGCAGCTGCAAGCCAAAGACCGCCAAAGATCATTGCAAATCACCACAATTATTTGACAGGTTTCAGAGTGAGCATGGCCTGATTTCAAACTTCTCCAGAACTGCCAAATGTCTGTTGTTTTTAAGCCACCCTACTCACGGTATGTTGCTGCAGTTGTCCCAAGCAGCCAATACAGAGACATAAATATCTTTTGTTTAGCCAATGTTTCTTTGGCCTTACCCATTTCTTGGAGCTGATGATAATCTTGACAGAGATGGAGGGGATGGTCAGATTCTATCAAAACAATCAAACTTTTTTGTAGCCTTAGCAAACATTAGGTTAGTAACATTAGCAAAATTTTACTGGTTTCATGAGAACAGAAAAGGTTGTGAAATGAACCAAGTGACAAAATCGAAGTCACCACAGTTACAATAGTAAATGAATCTCGGGTATGGTGATGTGAGGAGAAATGATAGCACCTACAGTTACAGAGTCCCTATTGTGTCTGGTATTTTGTTGACCTTATTAAAACTGCATCTAGGGCACCTGAGTGGCTCAGTGGGTTAAGCCTCTGCCTTCGGCTCAGGTCATGATCTCAGGGTCCTGGGATCGAGCTCCCACATTGGGCTCAGCGGGGAGCCTCCTTCCCCCCTCTCTCTGCCTGCCTCTCTACTTGTGACCTCTCTCTGTCAAATAAATAAATAAAACATTTTTTTAAAAAAACCTGCATCTTGGGGCGCCTGGGTGGCTCAGTGGGTTAAGCCGCTGCCTTCGGCTCAGGTCATGATCTCAGAGTCCTGGGATCGAGCCCCGCATCGGGCTCTCTGCTCAGCAGGGAGCCTGCTTCCTCCTCTCTCTCTGCCTGCCTCTCTGCCTGCTTGTGATCTCTCTATCAAATAAATAAATAAATAAATCTTTAAAAAAAAACAAAAAAAAACAAAAAAACCTGCATCTAAACCTAAGAAGTAGATTTTTTAACATTTTCACAATTTAAAAATATAAAAACTGAGGCCCAGACTGTTGAGTGTCCTGCCCAAGATGCTACAGATGGCAGAAAACTAGAAACTGAACCTGACTCCAAAACCCATACCTGTTTCCACTCTACAATGCTGGGCTGACAGAAGTAAGGCAGGGAGTGGATTGCTAGAGAAGATGTAAGCATGTCTGGGCCCATGGAAATGGAACCAGGGTGAGGGAGAGACTGGAAATACCCAGGAACTACCAGGAAATTCATGTGCCAATTTTAATACATGGGACTTTTAACATATAACTGATTGATCCCATCTGCTGTCAGGAGATGGGATCAGAGAGCTTCTTTTTCCTACTAAGCAGTAGCATGACATTATCTCCAAGCTACATCATTACATCTAAAAACAAAACAACACTCCAGTTCATCTGAGCATGCCCAGAGTATCTCCAAGGACATAAGAGAACTAGTAGCACTGTCTCCTAGAAGAGTAATCAGGTGGAAGACTTTCCACCTTTTAATTTGGAAAAAACATTTAAGCATAAAGATTTTTTTTCAGCCTAGCAACTTTAGAAAATGCAAATAAAATTTAAAGAAAACCCATTTACAGGGAGCCTGGGTGGCACAGTCGACAAAGCGTCTGACTCCTAGATTTGGCTCGGGTCACAATCTCAGGGTTGTGAGGCTGAGCCCTATGTCAGGCTCCACACCCAAGGGTGGAGTCTGCTTAAGCCTCCCCCTCCTCCACCACGTTCTCTCTCTGAAATCTTTAAAAACCTCATTTGCAATTCTAGGACCTGAAGATTATCAGTTATTACATATGCACACATTTACCTAGATTGCTTGGTTTTAAAGCAGGTTATGATAAATATAAAAGCATGGGTTTTGAGGCACCTGGGTGGCTCAGACGTTAAGTGTCTGACTTCGGCTCAGGTCATGAAACACGGGATTTGGTTTTTGTTTTGTTCCATTCAACAGTAGTCCAAGGACAGCTTTTTTCCCTCCAATAGATGGCCATAGTATCTTATGGTAGATAGCTAATCTACTACAAATCCAGTCTTCCCTTCTTCCTTGGCCAAAACCCAGTTTCGTGAGGTGTGGCACTGTATGCAAATATGACAATTTCTCAGCCTTCTTTGCCCAAATTGTGGCAATGTCACTATACAGCCAGTAAGATGTAGATCCAAGTATCACATGAAACTTAGAGGAAACCTTAAGAATGTCCGTTTTCCTTTATTCTTTCCTTCCTTTCTTTCCTGTGTCCACATCTCAAGCCATCACCTCGTAACATGCTGAGGAGAGTATTCATGGGCGAGGGTTTCGGGCTGGCTGGAGTCTGGATCCCTAACGACTTTGTGATGCTTTTTATCAGCAATGGTTTCAGACTACATCAGGTCTTTTTAACAAGAAAATAAACTTGTGTTTAGGCCACAATACGCTCTCCTTATTAAACATGCTACTGGTCGGTTTTTGTTTTACTATTTTATCTGAGACCAACAGCATGAGTTGGTCAGGTGGGGGAGGGAGAGGGAAAAGCAGCCTCCACACTGAGCAGGGAGCTCCATGCGGGACTCCATCCCAGGAGCATGGAATCATGACCTGAGCCAAAGGCAGACTCTTAACTGACTGAGCCACCTAGGCGCCCCTGGTCATTTATTGGGATTAAACAATGAATAATCTAGGACATTTTCTCCATCCGTTAGATGACCAAATAGTCTGGTTGAGCGGATGTGGTTTGTACAGTGTGTTCTTTCAGTCGGCCACCGGCTGTACGACAGTGTGTGCCGCGTGTATGGCAAAAACAAGAGCAGACCACACTGCCTGCTCCAGACCTGATGTCAGGGCCATACATTCTAGAATGCACAGCTTTGCTCACAAAAGTAACTGAATGTCTTCTAGGAAATGTGTTCTGCTACAGACTTCATCTGTTGACGAGGCTTGGGGATGTGTTTCAAAATGGCAAGAAGTCTTTTGGTTTCCAATTAATACTAACTTTTGGTTATCTTTTTATCCTTGATGTTTACTGTCTCGGTATTAGAGATTCAACAAAATTTTAAATATTTGCTTTTTACTGTAGGAGATAAACTTTATAGTTATGGGCAAGTTGACTCTATTCACGTGCTGGAAGGAAACCAGGTGGACAGGCTAACAGCAGACAGTAAATGAAGTAAGTCTTAGCTAATTTAGTGCCATGCAGTATTGTAGTCACTTTACATATATGAACTTTTAATTCTCAAAAAAATATCTGCTATTCACTACACAGAGGAGGAATCTGAAGAAGGCAAATTACTTACCCAAGATCACATGGCTTCTTGGAGGCAGCAATGCCACTGAAGAGCCAAACTGGAACTAAGGGTGAACTTAAGGATTTCAGTGTTTCCAGTTTGAGGCTTCAGAAGATGGCCAACGTTAATATCCTATGCATCCGGGGCCTCTGACACTGCAGTATGCTTTCACAATTTTAACTTTTAAAATCAAAGTGCTAATTCTGTAAGTGGGATGAGGTATTTAAGAATGAAAGTTGGAAGGAACAGAATGTTCACTTTTTAAAATGCAAGCTTTTTCAGAATGAGCATGGTGTCATCAGGAATGCATTGCACAAGGGGGAAAAAAAGGCCTGGATTTTTCACTCGAGTTGACATTAAATGTCATGAGAACTCTGGACTCTAAGTGCCTCAACTATGTAACGAAAGGCTTGGTTCAGCTCACCTGAGGTCTCCTTTGTCCTACCTGGCTTCACCTCTTTACAGATGGAAAATGCCAGGTCACATCTTTATTAAAACAGCCACCACCACCACCTCCCCAAAACCATGGACATTCCAGGACACTCTCCTACTGTTTTCTTCGAAAGAAAAAAACCACCTAGTTCACAGAACTTTATATTTTGGGGCTGGGTCAGCATCTTCTACACTGGATAGGAAGAATTTGATTTGTAAACACTGTAGTAATCAAGCAGTACTTGTATTTTAGAATATCACCTTTACTTTCTATCCTGAAGGTTTGGTCTCTCAATTTACAGTCATTGTGAACTCACGACCCTGAGATGAAGACCTTAGCTGAGATCAAGAGTCAGACGCTGAGCCACCCAGGCACCCCATACCATTTTCAATAACTAATGTGCATGTTCTTTTGGTCATTAAATCATTTACCCTGTTTTCAACACTTACCATCTCCAAAGCCTATTTATGCTCACAGGGACTCACAGATAAAGCAGGGTTCTAGCCTAGTCTTAAATTCACTGAAGAGATAAAGGAAGTTGCCTCCTAACGTCATGAAAAAACATGGCATTGTCAAAATACGAAAGGACGTACTTGTGGCTGTGGCAAAGTGCTCATCTTGGCAGGTGCCAGAAGAGTAGGGAGCACACCAAGTTAGTGAATACTTAAAGGGCAATGAATACTTAAGCACTCAATTGGATTATATCAACTTTTAGGGCATTGGGAAGCCATTCAGGATTTCTCAGCAAGGGGTCAAGTGGCTCGATTTGTCAGATAAATCTGGTGGCAGCAAGTCTCATAGTTCAGAGAACTGAGAGTCAGCTAACTGCACCACCCCGCCTCACTGACCCTCCTCCCCCAGCCAAAAAAGCCAAACCAGGGCAGTGACCATGTGAATGCAGGGGAGGGCAAGATGTCATATTTAGAAATAGACTAAAGGAGACAAAACTACTGAGTGGTTCTAAAAGGAACAGGAATCAAGAATCCATGAAAGCTCAGACAGGTGCTTTCAAATAAAAGAAAATGTAAGGGGAAGGGGGAGGGGAGGAGGAGGCTGGGTTCTATGCTAAGCTTTCCAAGCCTGAGACAAGAGTGAACCTACAAAAAACCACTGATGAATAGGGATCTGATGTCAGCAAGGAGGCAGAAGCTTGAGACAGAGGTCTAGGACCCATCTAGGGGTTAGCTGCCCAGATGTGCTTAGAAGAATCCTAAACCCTGGCGCAAAGCACATATAAGGGACAGAGGAAGAGAAACAGTCACAAAGGTAAGTCAAGAGACAGGGGTGAGCAGAATCCTGGAGGAGGAATTCAGGATAGGGGACAAATACTGATCATCGGCACCATCCCCACCAAGATCATGGATTTGTCTCTGCACTAGAACAGAAGATCCACGAGGGCAGGAACCTTCTGCTGTCGTGTCTGCAATGCCTACCGGAGTGCGGAACTCCTGGCAGCTGCTCTGCAACTGCTTGTGGAAGGAATGGAAGGATACCGGTTAGGCCTTCAGTAGCCGCTGAACTTGATCATCAGAAGGCACTGATGATGAACACCAGGGCCACTTTCAGGAACCCCGCCCCCCAACACACACACACACACATCCCTACCCTGTCCAACTCCACCAAAGCACTGCTGGGAGTCTGGCTCCTGGAAGACAGAAGGTTGAGACACAAGTTCATCACTGAGGGGTAAAAATCTTCTAAGTCTCATTCACCCACCTTGATGGAAGTTCTGCATAGGCAGGCATCATCATTACAATGGGTTCCTCTTAAAACCTTTATGAGATTAGCTAGAGCCCATAAAAGCTATAGAGAACACCTGAACATGCAAGAAAGCTTAGATAAAATGAATCTTATGGGAGTCATGCCAAACGAATAAGTTACCCATCTCATCGGTTTTAGGAGTTTTCACATTTGCTTAAAAATGAGCATAGCTAGATGATCTATTACAGCTCCTATCCCTGCCAATTAATGTTGGTGGAATTCTAACTGTACGTAGAAGTTCAAAGATCAACCTGGAAAGTATGAGATTTTGTGATAAAGAACCCCAAACAGAGTCTCGTGGTTCCTGAGGTAGAATCGTGCCTCAACAGGTGAACGGCTCGGGTTTCAAAGTCCTTAATCAGGCCCTATCGGCAAGGCTCAGCTCACTTCCCCCATGACCAGCAGAGCAGGACCGTAGAAGATGCCTAGCACACAGCAGGTGCGCGGTAAGAACAGGTGACGCACCCGAGTTTTCCCTTTAAACCACGCACGTAGCAATCCATCTCTCCTCCAGCTTTGTTTGGACCCGCAGGGCCTCTCCCTTCACTGAAGTCGCTCTTCAGGTCCCACAGCAAGAAGTCTTCCTACTTCCTCCACAGGCAACAGGGCCCTTCAGGTTTGGCGCCTCCAAATGCACCAGGTTCTGCGTCTCCTACTCACAAGACTCCACAAAGCGTATTTGCTACATGGTATTTATTCAAGGACTTTCTATATTCACCACTGAAATCACTGCTAAGCTCTTTTCATATCTATTTGTGTCACAGTTCTCCAGGCTGGGTGGTGAAGACAGGCAACCGCGAGCCTGTCTGTTATGATTGACAACGACTGGCGTGGCGTCAGCATCGAAGAGCTCTGAGAGTAGACGCTCGTGGAGGAGGAGGATGAGAATGGAGAGGAGGGTCCTGAGGAAGGGCCGAGACGGGCTGCCCCACCCACAGAACCCGCGGCCTGCATGAGGCCTGGGACCTGCTTTCCCCTCTGCCCTGGAAGGTCTTCTCTGGGTGATTCTAAGGCACAGTGGTAAAGGACATGATTGGCCCACCCAGTGTGGTCCTCTGGTCTAGTGGCAGCCCCTCGCCTGCAAACAGTGCAACGAGCATTCCATTCTGAAGATCTTCTCAAACACATGCAAGCAGCATTCTCTAATGGAAATGGAGACAAGGTCTTTCTTGGAAGAGAGTGCCCCAGAAGGTACTCTCTGCCCCAAGACCAACCAGGTCCCTTTTAAGGTCCCTGAGAACAGCAGCCTGGGAGCAACCAAGACTTTCAAAGGCTGACAAGGCACAGAGTGGATGAATGAAAAGAGAACAATACATGGAAAAAAAACAAAACACAACACAACTTTGGCTTATAAAACCTCCAACCTGAGGTGGGGACATCCGTGTCCACAAACATGCAGAAACAGATGATTGTAGCAGATGGTTGTCAGAAATGCTTCAGCATTTCCCACACTGTCCACACCCCAAGCCCTGCTCTCCCCTCCCCCAAATCCCCCACAACACACACACACACACACACACACACACACACACACACAAATAGTATGTGCAGAATAAGTCAGAGGTTGGGATCCAGAGCCTGACGTCAGGATAGAACTGTTGGCACTCCGCACTACATCACCATGATTAGTCCTATCTAGACAGCAAAATTCACATTGGCCTAAGCTTGAATGGCGGGGTCTGTCTTATTAAAAGTTAGGCGGCACCCAAGACTGCCAGATCTGGAAAGTCTTTCACTTCTCCTACTTCGCTGAAAGGCTGTCCACCCTGGTTGAAGGTCAGCTTATACCGTAACCGGATGGGCTCCTGCACAAAGACAGAAGACATTAAATTAGTGGGGAGAGACATAGACCGGCCCACTCTGAGTTTCTGCCCACCCAGCAGTCACCAAGGAATAGCAATATCACATTAACTCCATGTCAGTTAGGCCCCGAAACAACTGTATGACAGGGACACCTGGCCAGCACCCTCTGAGACGACAAACACAAGGGGAGCCAGCCATGCATCCTGAGAGAACTCTCCCGCCTCTGCGGTCCTGAGGTGGACCGCAACTCAGACCAGCTGAGGAGGACAGGCAGGCCTCACCCTTTCAGAGGACTCATGGTTCTAGGGGGAATTTGTGTCACCCTTGGTTCCCAGCTATGGCAACCCAGTCAGAGACCTTCCTCCAACGAGCCCCGAAGAAAACAGACACTCAGCAGGGAATATCTCAGCACCACCCCCAACCAGACCCTTTAGAGCAAGACCTAAATAAACCTCTTTCAACCTACCATGCTACCTCCCTACAGCCCAGGGCCTCCCCACCGATCCCCCTGCTATCAAAGTTACCAGAACATACTTTATGTGGATTGTCAAGCAACAGCATCTGAGAGATCACAGCTGGAGGCGTCAGCGGACTGAAGGCAGGGAGCTTGGAGCTGGATGCCGGCTGCAGCTTCACTCTCATGGACTATGGGGGGTGGGGGTCGGGGCAGAAAAATCCAGTATCTAATTTGTTCCTAATGAAGTACAGCTTCAAAGAGGGAGTTAAGGTAAACGGGAAAACTTGACCTCCACCCACCAAATAATTAAAGGGTCCCAAAGTCCTTTCCTTCCATAAATCGAAGCTGTGTGGTCAATGGTTGTTTTCTGAGAGGCAGCATGAAGAGCTAGGGCATACCTTGGGTTGAGCTCTGCTTCTTACTAGCTCTGGGACCTTGGGCAAAATACTTAACCTTTCTGAACCCATGGACTAAAAGTTTATAAAATAAGAGATAACAATAACACATGTCCCACAAAACTACCGCAAGGATGAGAGAATGCGTATTTTTACTTTTGCTTACCTCGAACCTTTCCTTTCAGGACATCCTTTCCCTGTCTTTTGTGATGCTGGTATGGCTATTAGTCAGTGGGGCTCTACTTCTCTTGAAGAGGAACGGATGTCATGTCTACACTGGTCAGAGTATCTCATTATCCCTGAACACAAGGTATGGTCCCAGATACCCAAGTAATGCCAACGGGGCCAAACCTTTCTTGGGTAATCACTATGCATGCCTCGTGCCAGATGGAAGTTTCCCTCTGTGATAAAAAGGGTTCAGGAGGGAAAGGATTATGTAATTCTGGGGCTGCTGGTAGCCATTTCCATGCTCTTTGGAGTCTGCTGGAGAACAGGCTCCACAGAAGAAAGCGAAGTGAAGAGGTGGAAAGAGACAGATTCTTAAGGAATCATTTTAAGAACTTATCTGGATTCGGTCACATCTAAAGTCAGATATTCAGAAATCCCTAGTTCAACAAGCCAATAAAATTCCCATTTGATCTTAAACTCCTTTGAGGATTTTGTCTCTTATACCTAACTCAAAGATCATGTCCTAGGTTAGGGCGCTGGCCAGCAGATGGCTCACCTTTGGCACAGCCACTTGAAACATGATGTCCCAGACAGGCTGGGTGGCAGTGCTCATCATGGTTAACAGCAACACCTGCACCTCCGGGTGGCCAGGGGCCCCCGTCTGGGAAAAGTGGAGCAGAATTCGGAATCCATTCCTGTCATACACGATAAGAGGCGGCAGGCTGCCTGGTGGAGAAGGACCCAAGCAAAAGGGTTAGCATGACCACGAGGCTGCCAACAGCCATGCCTGAAAGATGTGCATGTTATCACCCGCTGCTGCCGCTGCTTCTCCAGTCAGCACAGCTCCTGGACTAACCTCCTTGGAACCAAGTTTTGGTGCTGCCATGATCTAGCTCTAACTACTTCCAAGCTGGACTCCTGGGGCCCCTCAAACTGATCGCTCCCCACCATCCAACCACCCAAAGCACATCACCAGTTGTTTTGTTTTAAAGATTTTATTTATTTATATGAGATAGAGCGAGAGCAAGAGAGAGATGGCACAAGCCAGGGAGGGGGGAGGGGGAGGGCAGAGGGAGAAGGAGAAGCAGACTCTCCGCTGAGCAGAGCCAGCTCTGGGCTCAATCCCAGGACCCCTGAGATCACATGACCTGAGCTGAAGGCAAATGCTTAACCAACTGAACCACCCAGACACCCCAGAATATTACCAGTTTAAAAAAAAAAAAAGGAACTTTAAGGGAGACAGGATTAGGACTCAAATACTATGAACATTACAGAAAATACAGGATCTCATAAAGAATGAAATAAAAGACTCCATTAATTCTACGCAGAAATAAAAGTATTGCTAACATTTGGGCCTATTTCCTTCTGGTCTCTTTTCTATGACTACATGCACACACAGCTCTCGCATTTAATTTTACAAAACAATAAAGACACTGATCTCTTCAAGTCAATAGGTTTAATGACATTCCAATGGGCTAAGGAAAATAGGGTATCCCCGGGGGGGTGGTATAAGACTTGTCCATTTACGAGAGATGAAAGGCTACTTGCATCAATAAATACTCGTAAGTACACAACTGAGTGAAGTAGAAACCTAAGCATGCAGAATAGACCTAATGGGAGAATTCTAGAACATCTACTTCAAAATCAGTGGCTGACTCAGTAAGTGGCAGACAACTACATAATTTGGGGAAAAATTTCTAATGAAGATCCTTCGATGATGCCAAAAATCTCTTACCAAAGTGTACATTCAGTAGTTTAACACTGATACCAACAAAGTGTACGTTCAATGGTTTAACAGTGAAACTGACAAAGATGTCAAAGTCTGAAAACTCCTGAGGAATGGTGGTGAGGATATGGGGAAAGAGGCAACCTTTGTGAAGGGATCTTGCTAATGCAGATCAAAATTTCAAATATCTACACCCAGCACTTCTAAGAATATATCCTGATGAAATAATCAAGAATGTTTAAACACAGAAGTGTCCAGAGATGTTCAGCATAGCAGTTTTAACAGCAAACAACTAGAAACAAATTATCCTTCAGAAAGGAACTGAATTCAGGCACCCGGGTGACTCAGTCAGTTAAGTGACTTGATTTCAGCTCAAGTCGCAATCTTGGGGTCATGAGATCAAGCCCGGCTCCATGCTGAGCATAGAGCTTAAGAGTCTCTCTTTCCTTCTCCTTGTGTCCCTCACCACTCAAGCACATGTGCTCTCACTCCAAAAAATTTTTAATTAAAAAAATTTTAAATGAAGAAAGGAATTGAATAAATGAATGACAGTACCATGATTATAGATGTATGGAGACATTTACAAAGTAAAGGTTTTGAAGAATAATTCACGGCATGAAAAAATGCTATGGCTTATAAAAGTAAAGCCGGCTGTAAAACATTCTAAATATACTGCAGTGCGAATTTATTAAAAAAGTATATATATACACATGACTAAGCAAGAAAACACATTAAGACATTGATAGAACTTCCATCTCTGGGTGACCAGTATAGATGATCTTAATTTTCTGCTCTGTTTTTTCTAAAATTTCTACTTTGAGGGGCAACTAGGTGACTCAGTCAGTTAAGTGTCCAACTCCTGATTTTGGCTCAGGTCATGATCTTGGGGTCCTGGGGTCAAGACTAGCATCAGGCCCTGTGCTGAGCGTGGGGTCTGCTTGAGATTCTCTCTCCCCTTTTCCCTCTGGCCCTGCTCTTTCCCTCCCTCCCTCCCTCAAATGAATAAGATCTTTAAAAATAAAATTTCTACGTTAAATGTGTTTTTTCACTTTTGTACTTTTGTAATAATTTCCGATTTATGAAATGTTACAAAAACACAACTCCCATACACCCTTCACCCAGCTTCCTCAAATGTTTACATTTTTACAAATATTAACACAGGACAATGATCAAAACCAGGAAATTAATACTGGACAGGTATTATTTTTAAGGTCAAGTAAGTATCACAAACGGCTCCTACTGCATACTGACTGTTTAATTCCTCTGCCTGGTTCCAGATGTGACATCAGCACACAGAGACACGGGAGAGCTGTGTGCCCAGAGAAAAGGGCCTGTACCGTACATCTAAGCACCTTGGGTGTGTCCTGCTCCCATGCCGGTGTGCCGACCACATGCAGTCACCTTCCCTCCTTCGTAAGGAGGGAACCTCTGCTCTCCTGCACCGAGGACCCCCCATGGGAGATGGCCACTAGCCAAGTTCTTCCTTTCCACCTAATCCCACCTCTTCAGAGTTATTTCTGCCACACTGGACATTCCCTTCAATTTCAAATGAGTGAGCATCATGTCTAAAAAGACTCGAGTCCCCTAATTAAAATCTGCCTGCCAATATCCTTCACCTTTAGTGTCAACCCCAAGCCAGAAAACTTTATGAAAAACAGTAGGTAAGAGACTGTGAAGCCACCTCCTTACCCTCTGCCCCCAGGCAAAATCCCTAGCACTCACCTTCCCCAATTTAAGAGCCACCCCCTACCAGTCCAGAGCAGATAAAGCTGGGTATTTAATAGCAAGGGTAGGGGGTGGTGAAGGTAAAACTGTACTTACTGGGCTTAACAGACTCCAAAGGGACAAACACTTGAGCCAGCGGTGTATTCTGGGTGGATGGGGAAGAAGCCAATGGCCCAGCTTCCCAGGACCAACCTGGAGAGGACTTAGTGCCAGGGGGCACTTCCTTAGGAATGCTCTTCTGTGGAACATAATTCCTGCAAAAAAATGAAAAAAATATCAACACTAGCAAAAATAATACAAAATTCCAGGAATCTGATTAGGCTTTCTGAAGAGTTAGGTAATAAAGAGGGAGAAAAAGAAATACATATATGTGTGTGTATTTTAAAGGGGTAAGACTTTAGATGGGTAATTTCACCTGTGCCTCAGTCTTCTCATCTGTAAAATGGAAATCATCTAGCATCTACCTCATGGGGTTATTAGAATTAAATGAGAAAATAAATGAGAAGCATTGAGGGGACTGTGCACACCTAAGGACCCAGCAAACTAGAGCTATTATTAAAGGAATGAGGGTTGTAGTTGCCGGGCAGCCTCTGACATGTTGCTCAGGTTAAGTTTCCCACATATGGTATGGGCGTTAGGAAGATGATAACACCACTACACAGACCATGTCATTCACATTTCATGATTTTGTCCATTTGGAATGTAAATTGAGAACATTTTGTGAGTAGCCTCCACACCCAGCAAGGAGCCCAACTCAGGGCTCGAACTCATGACCGAAACCTGAGCTGAGATCAAGAATCAGATGCTTAATGGACTGGGCCACCCAGGCACTCCAAAGACATTTTCGATACAAACTGAAACTATATTGCAGAATAACCCATACCGATCAGGAAGATTACCAGCCCCCAGCTGAGTGGTTACAAGGAGAAAATGGAAAGACATCCCCCCTCTGAGTGCAAACAAGAATGACGTCCCAGCACGTCTTCCTGTCCGCCAGGGCCGTGTCTCTACCACAGACACGGAGGTGCTCAGGCTGCTATGGGAAGGCACAGTGCCCCAGCCTTCCAGAGGCAAAGCAGCAGGATCTATGTTCACACATTTAGATTCACACACTGGAGCGCTTCTACCTCTAGTAATCTGCACTGTAACAATGCTCCAAGTGCCTCTGAACTGAAAGGTATTTAAACACCCACAAGAGGGCAGTGACTAAATATATGAGTATTATGTGCACGTGGATTATTATACGACCATCAGAATGCGACAAATTTATAGAAACTGACATGGACATGTATCAAAGATGTGATATGGAAAAACCACGCTGGGAAACAGTTTGTAAATGATGATTCCATGTGTATAAAAAATAAACAACATAACCCATTACACACAGAGAGAAAAGCAAAGAAGGAACATTCGACATTATCTTTAGAGAGTGATAATTGGGCCTTTCTAGTTATCTAGTTATCTAGTTCTCTAGTGATCAAATTTTGCTTAACTTCATTGTAATAAAAAAAAAAAAAGCCTGTGAACACCAAAACCATCACCTACTGCTGCTACTAGTTAAAGCAACCCCTTTTTGCAGAGGTCCTAACCAAAGCATGTTTTTTTTGTCTGACTTGGGATGGGGAGTCAAAGGAGAAAAGGGGAAGCACACACAGAACCTTGGGTAGGAAAGAAGCAGCCTGCCCAGGGAGAGAGGTCTCTGGCTATCTCCAAGCGTGCCCCGTGTTACCGTCCACTAACACGGCCTGTCAGCCTGCCCCCCACACGATGAGCAAGAAGCACACGCACGGGAGCCCCTCTTCTATGTTCCTTGCCCACAAGACTCACAGAGGCCCTGGACATGGCTGTGGGGAGAGGAGATCCAGCAAGTTCCTTTCTGCAGAAGGGCTCTGAACACCACCACCGGGCAGCATGCTGGCGGGGGGATTCTTCTTTTCCTTATAGCAATTCTGACCAGCAACCTGTCAAACCAGGAATGCCTAAAATAAGGCCAGGGTATGAATGACCAGGAGCCATGGTGACACCAGGACACAGGCTTACTGCATTTCCTGGGACAGGAGGAGAAAAAGAGCCAGAGAACACAGGACTCCTGATCTGACATTCAGTAAGCAGGAGCCTGGATACCACTCAAGAGGGTAGGAGTATAAGGAGAGGGAAAAATGTGTCTCTCTGGGGGTTGAAGCCAGACAGTAACAGTAAGGAAGAGGCCCTGGACCTCCAAGTCCAGCCGCCACCAGGCTATGCTGTGGCCCCTCCCCTCACTACCCAGGCAGTGCTGCCCTCATGAACGTAGGTTTGAGGGACCTCCTTTCCAGCCCCTAGGAAGAGTTTCCTTACCTTGTTGGTATGTGGAGCATCACTGAGTCCTAGAAGGAAGAAACAGAAAGATGCGCACCAGTAACTCTACCTGACAGGAGCTGGAGATTGATACCATGTTCACCCTTTCTAAAACATTTAGAAAGCCTGGGCAAAGCAAATTACCCAAAATCATTCAAGTCACCCATGGCAAATCTGAGACTAAATGCGATGAGGACTTCCCAGGATGGCAGTTCCCCCTTATTCATTAGGGGATATGTTCTAAGACCCAGGTGGATGCCTGCAGAGGCAGATAGTAGCTATCCCTCCATATACTATGTTTTTCCCCACACATACATGTCTATGATTAAGTTTACTTTATAATTTAGACACTGTAACAGATAATAAAAATAATATACTGCAGTAAGAGTTACGTGAATGTGGTCTCGCTCTCAAAATATATTATACTGTACTCACCCTTTGTCTTCTTGTGGTGGGAGATGATAAAATGCCTACGTGATGAGATGAAGTGAGGTGAACGACGTAGGCATGGGACGCAGCCCTAGGCTACTACTGACCTTCTGACCCTAGGTCAGAAGGAGGCTCATCTGCTTTCAGACCGCGAGTCACTGAAACCACGGACGAGGGGGCTACTGTATACCCAGCTCCCTCTGAAAACAGGCATAGTCTCCCCAAGCAGAACCAGCTTACTCGCTCTCCCTGGGAGTCAGGGCCATTCTGTGCCTGCTCCCCGTAAACACCCTCCCTCACCTAAGGCTGCCAGGTCCTGGTGAAGCAAGGACGGTGCCACAGTCCCGGCCTGCTCAGATCCACTGTCCACCTCCAAGTCAATCAGAGCGCAGCTCTTCGTGCAGCCTGCGGGTTTCTGAAAGACTACACAAGAGTCAGGAAAATATGTCAGGATGCGCGCAAAGTCCCCACTGAATGACTGTCCGCTTCCCAGAGGCCTCCTCCCAAACAGAAGACATCACACCGCCCCTCAGTGCCCCCCCGGTGGAGAGCCTGCGCTGACATCTGGAATAGGACAGGACGCAGCCTGAGGACTGCCTTCCTACCCCAGCAATCGGTGTCCTCTGCAAGGCGTCCAATCAACCTGGCCAGCAACACAGCTGACGTCTCCGCCTCACAGGCCTTTTGAGAACAGCTCATCACAATCACTGGAGTGTTTGGTAAAAACACAAATCTCCAGGCCACGCGCTAAGGAGTATTGATACAAAAGCTCCAAGCTGAGGACCTAAGAATCTGCGTTTTAGCCAGTATTCCAGATGATTCTGATGTAGCTAGCCTGCTAGGCACCACCAACACAGATCTTTTTTTTTTTTTTTTTTTTTTTTGGTCTCTAGCTCTTCTAAGTAAGCATTCGTGAGAAGAGGAATCAAAACCTGGGTGCAAAATAGCCATGTGCTCCTGTGGAGAACCAGAGGCGGGCTCCAGCCTGCCCATCAGTTTGTGATGGCACATGTGGCAGAGGCTGGCTACATAAAACCAACTCTCGAAGGGAAGGGGAAGAAAGGGCAAGGCCTCTCATTTCCACACCACAACGCAGAATATTCTAAGGATCCATTTCTTCTCCGGGATTTGCAGGATGTCCAGGCAGAAGGTAAGAGAGGCTTTTTTGCACATACCTCTGGAGACAGCTAGGTCTCCCACTGAGCTGGTCACTGTGTTCCCAAAGATGACTCGGCCCTCCATCACCTGTTTGTACAGCAGAACTCCCTGGGTGAGGAGGTCATTTGCCTGGAGAATCTCCGCTGAAGGAGGAGGAGAAAATGAGAACACCCCCTTAGTTATCCACCAACAATCTCACTCTTTTTAAAGTCATTCCAGAAAGTAGCGGCCACGCAGCTCTACCAGGTTCAGTATATCCATGCCTCCTGCTGCCAAATCATGTGATCAGGACCCTAGCAGACCTAGTTATTCAGTCCCTGAACCCCAACACCTCTCGTTCAAGATGCAGGAGAAACCAAATTTCTTCGCCTTTGTTCCCAATACCTTCCAACACAAGGATCAACACTTAAAACATGGCTATTTCAACTAAGAAACTAAAACTTTAATATTTAATTAACTTAAAAACAGTTTTGTCAATGTGAATGTGAATATTAAGAGTTTTTCAGGGGGCGGCACCTGGGGGGCTCAGTCGGTTAAGCAGCTGCCTTTGGCTCAGGTCATGATCCTGGAGTCCAGGGATTGAGCCCCATGTCATGCTCCTTGCTCAAAGGGGAGTCTGCTTCTCCCTCTGTCTCCCACCACCACCCCTGCTTGTGTTCTCAAATAAATAAAATCTTCCAAAAAACTTTTAAAAAGAGATTTTTTTGGTACTTTATTCACTTATTGGAGAGCTTTTAAGTGTGTAGGGAACAAACATGAATGTATGTTTTTACCTGTAATTTCTTAAAATCTAAATATAGATCAAGTACTTCTGATGAAAACTTGGCATCCAAATTAAAATGTCGTCTAAATATAAAATACACACTGGATTCCAAAAACTTCATAAGCTTTTGTGAAATTGGCTCCTGCCAATTTTCTTAACTGTGGACATAAGCTATAACATGGGGGTGAATTCACCCAGCAAAATGTTTTAGTTGGCACAGGCAAGTTGCTTAAAAATTTGATTGCTTTTGAGCTCACTGCAAACAGAGAAAATGATGGGTTCAGACCATAATCATGAAGAGATCATCAGAAACCAGGGGCCTCTTGACCACTACCCACGAAATGTTCTTGCTTCCCCAATCCCTGCTCTAACCGATCCTGAATCCGATCAAGCCCCCGATCCAATTTATAAGAAATATCAGCAATTTGTAAGAAGGGTCAGATATGCAAAAACATTAAATACCATGGGGCATGCCATCAGAACACTGAGGCCTAGAAAAACTTTGTAGGTCAAAGGGAATGTTTTTCCAGTCAAAACCAAATGACAACTGACAGAATGGGAGAAGATATTGCAAATAACATATCAGATAAAGGGCTAGTATCCAAAATCTATAAAGAACTTATCAAACTCAACACCCAAAGAACAAATAATCCAATCAAGAAATGGGCAGAGGACATGAACAGACATTTCTGCAAAGAAGACATCCAAATGGCCAACAGACACATGAAAAAGTGATCAACATCACTTGGCATCAGGGAAATACAAATCAAAACCACAGTTAGACACCACCTCACACCAGTCAGAATGGCTAAAATTAACTAGTCAGGAAACGACAGATGCTGGCGGGGATGAGGAAAAAGAGGAGCCCTCCTGCATTGTTGGTGGGAATGCAAGCTGGTGCAGCCACTCTGGAGAACAGTATGGAGGTTCCTCAAAAAGCTGAAAATAGAGCTACCCTACGACCCAGCAATAGCACTACTGGGTATTTACGCTAAAGATACAAATGTAGTAATCCGAAGGGGCACGTGCACCTGAATGTTTATAGCAGCAATGTCCACAATAGTCAAACTATGGAAAGAACCTAGATGTCCATTAACAGATGACTGGATAAAGATGTGGTGTGTACACACACACACACACACAAACACACACACACACACACAATGGAATATTATGCACCCATCCAAAAGAAAAAAAACCAACCATGAAATCTTGCCATTTGCAATGATGTGGATGGAACTAGAGGATATTATGCTAAGTGAAATAAGCCAATCAGAGAAAGACAATTATCATATGATCTCTCTGATATGAGGAATTTGAGAGGGAGGGCAGGGGGTTGTGGTTGGAAGGGAGGGAAAAATGAACTAGATGGGACTGGGGAGGGAGACAAACCCTAAGAGACTCTTCGTCTCACAAAACAAACAGAGTTGCTGGAGGGGAGGGCAGTGAGAAGGATGGGGTGGCTGGGTGATGGACATTGAGGAGGGTATGTGCTAGGGTGAGTGCTGTGAATTGTGTAAGACTGATGATTCACAGACCTGTACCCATGAAACAAATACTACATTATATGTTAATAAGAAGAGAAAAAGGGGCATGCTTTTCATCTAATAACAAAGAAAAAGAACAGAGGGGCTATCCATTAAAAAAGGGCTTACAAAATAGCACTGTAAAGTATGGCTTTTCTGAGTGATTCAGAACTTTAAAAAAAAGGGAGGGAGGAGGAGGCCGGAGGGTTGGCATGAAATGTTTAGAGAGAAATGCCCAGGGAAATCTTAACACTATCTGATTACCTTAAAACATTTGGAATTTGCTTCAGAGAGAATGAGCGATGGGGGTAGAGCAGTACATATGCAACAAGAGGAAAAAAGATGGGTCATGTGCTAGCTGGTGGCTGTTACCCACAGGTGAAGGGCACACAGGATTTATCCCACTATTTCCCTGCACATGTCCTGAAATTTTCCGTAACAAAAAGTATAAAATATTGTAATCCCTGTCCACAGGTATTAACATTCTCCACAGTCCCTACCATTATCCCCTCCGTTCCTCCTCAGCCTGCCTCATTTAGGTTGGTGACCCAGCCCCAGCGGCACTCAGGTTGGTGAAACCTTCGAGATGCAGCCGTTCCTCAGACTTCTGTTAATCTTCCTTCTAGTATTTCCCTTGCACCCAACCTTCACCGCACATTCCCACCCTTCTCTATGCTTTCAGACCTGCTGATGATTGCTCGCTCAGGCCTCGAGCGTCCTGGAAATCAGTTCTAAGCCAACACGGGGCAAGCCCTTCGGAAGCCCAGCCGCCACAGAACCTAAAGCCATTCTGTCTGGTCTCTGGCACCACCGCAGCTCAGCAGGAAGGGGCATGTGTGTTCTGCCCTCCGCTGTCCCAGCTGCGCCTAGAGAAGGAGAGCTGCCTTACCGAGCGCGTCGTCATCGTCCGTGGTATCACTCGCCAGCCGGAACAGCGTGGGCCGCAGCTTCTCACAGCGCTCATACACGACCTGAGAAAACAGCCTGGTTTCATGGCAAGGCCCCAGGTGCCTCCAATAAGCACACAGCAGAGTCTAGGGCTTCTGAAATTCTCCTTAGTCCGTCCCAAATGCATGACTGCAGGTTTGAAATGACATGGCTGTTACAGTGTCAGAAAAAGTTTGGGCTACAGTTATCTGAATTTTTAAAATAGTTAAAAAGATGACAGAGGCCTAAGAATCTACATTGTGAGCACGTACGGTATTAGCTCTTCTCCAAGCTCCTTTCCTTGCCTCCTAGAAGAGCTTTAATAATGGGATAACCCCACATAGAACTCTGAAGAGATTACTCTGCTTTAAAACTAACATCCAGAGGGCACCTGGGTGGCTCAGTCATTAAACGTCTGAGCCATCCAGAGGGCTCAGGTCACGATCCCGGGGTCCTGGGATCAAGCTCCACATCAGGCTCCCTGCTCCACAGGAGGCCTGCTTCTCCCTCTCCCAGTCCCCCTGCTTGTGTTCCCTGTCTCACTGTGTCTCTGTCACATAAATAAAATCTTTTAAAAAAAAAAAATAATAAAACTAACATCCAAACTCCCCATCCAACTGTTGTCTGATGCCAGTCTTCCTTTTCCAACAACACTCCTTGATTCCCATTGCAGGTTCTCCCAGGACTAAACCTCAGTCCGCAACAATAACATCTGGGAAGTCTCACTCTCCTGATCGCAGGGGAGTGCTCTGGACAGCGTCACCCTCCACATGCTCGGTGTTGAGGAGGACATTGGCTTCTGTGCATGTTAGACTTCCTTTCAAAGGAACCCAACTAACTTAACACTGCAGTCCTCCCTGATGGTAATGCTCCCTGCCCCCTTCCCCAGGGCTGGTGAAATGATCTATCTGCTAGGGGAGTCCGGGAGAGGTGTTAACAGTCCCTTAGAAGAACATACTGACCAAACATGCTTAAACATGTACTAGCAGCAGTATCCTCCTCTGGGGGAGAGGACAATACATGATACACGTTCTTGAAGAGGAGCAGTTGGGGATGCCCGGCGCCCGCTCAGGGTGGACGGTGGCCTGCTTCTATTTTCTGTTACCTCCTCTTCTCCAGAGATTACCTGAGGTTAATTAGATGATCCCTTTAAATGTGTTTACTCAACCACAAATCCTATACTGCTTGATCAGGCATATCTTGCTTATCTATAATCTCCTTAAACTCTTTTGTTGATTGTTATCTTTATCTAACAAATACTGGACTGAGGGGTTGTTCGGAAAACAGTCGTCTCAACTGCTGGCCCCTGCTCCCTTTGTCTTGAAGCTGATTTGTTGATGCCTCATTCTTCTCTCCCGCGCTGTCGCTGTCGGGAAGCAGCAGGAGGAAGCAGGAAGGATTCCCCTTGCTGCCACTTTGCTCTTAAGAGCTCCCTGCCTGTACGCAAGCACATTCGGCTCCGCTCCCACCAGCCCTACGTTTTAGAGAAGGAAGCCCCTTGTGGGGAGAAGAGCGGTGAGCCAGTGCTATCTGAGCAGTAGGTAAACCTGCCTGACTCGGCTTCAGTATTAGGAAGCCACTAGCTATTCCAAAGTGCCGCTTATTCCAAAGTAGGCTCTGCCCATTACAAGGAAGAAGTTTTGTTTCGTGCCATGTCTCTCCTGTCTCCTAGCTCGTTACCATCTTGGGTGGGGAAAGCTGTGCTATTTAGAAGCCCAGCATGCCAGCCTTCCCGACGACTCCTTGCTGGACAAACAGATTGGTCTCTCAGGAATCTGGACTTAGGAAAGCTACTAGTTTGTTTTGCTAACTCTGTGAAATGGAAGGACAGGGAAACTAAGGAGCTACGTAAAAGCCATCTTTCCTGTGCAGAGAAGCACAAAAAGCTGGAATGCAGACGGACAAGACAAATGTAGCTGGCAGAAGGAGGGAGAAGAGCAGAGCTGGAAGGACAGACTCCCAGCGGCTGCCTCTGACAGCACTCCAGTCCCACCACCATCTGTCTGCACTGGGCGGTGGTGGCACGGCTAGGACACCGACAGACCCAGCGACAAAAGACAATACACAGATCCAACTCCCAGATTAAAGGACAAAGTCCAACAAAGGACTGGTATCCAGGATATATAAAGAACCCTAACAACTCAAAAGTTAAGAGACAACCCAATTAAAAATTGGGCAAAGGATCTTCAGCAAGAGGTTACACAAGCGGCGAAGAGACCTAGGAAAGAAAGCTCAGCTTAAGTCGCCACGGAAATACATTTCAAAAGCACAGTGAGATCCCACTTTACACCCACCGGGAGAGCTATTACCAAAAGACAGGCAGTAACAAGTGCTGGCAGGGTCCGGAAAACTGCGCCCTCCCCTCTTGCTGGTGGGATTGTAACTGGCACAGTGGTTTGGCACACTTGGTAGCAGCTTGGTAGCTGCTCAGACACTTAAACGGACCCCCCTAGATGATCCAGCAACTCCAGCTGCAGACACAGATCCATACTGAAGAAAATCAAAAGCTTACACTGCACACACAGAAAACTAGTTAACAGATGTTCACAACATCATTCATAATAGCCGAGTGGAAGCCCAGATGCCCAACTGATGGAACCGACAAACAAAACGCGAGGCAGCCATATGGCAGAAGGTTACCCGGCCAGAAAAAGGAATGAAGTTTTGATACACACTACAAGGTGGAGAAATCTTCCAGACGTTAAGTGAAAGCAGCCAGACTCAAGGCATGTTGTAGGATTCAATTTATATAAAATGTCCAAAGAGGAAGATCTACAGACACAGACCATGGATCAGTGGTTGCCAGGAGCCACTGAGGTGGGGGGTGGGGAATGAGGGGCTGAGGGGAGTGGTACAGATGTGTGCTAATGGGCAAAGGACTTCTTTTAGGGCTGATTAAATTCTTCTAGCTAGTGCTAATGGCTGCTTTTAGGATAAGTAAATTCACACTAAAGGTGTTAAAAAAAAAAAAGATGGAGATGTGTAGGCTGTGGGGGAATTGGAATTTGTATAATGCTGTTAGGTACATAAAATGACACAACCGCTTTTTAAGAAACCAGCCAACTATTTTCCGAAGTTAACTATACACTTAGTATGTGATGCAGCCATCCCACACCTAAGTGTGTACCCAAGGAAGATGCATGTTCACACAAAATCCTGTATACAATTGTTTATAGCAGTTTAATTCACAATCACCCAAAGCTGGAAACAACCCATTATCTATCAAAAGATGGATATATTGTAATGCACACAATAGAATACCACTCAACAATAAAAAGCAAACTACTGGGGTGCCTGGGTGGCTCAGTGGGTTAAAGCCTCTGCCTTCAGTTCAGGTCATGATCCCATGGCCCTGGGATCGATCCCCGCATCTGGCTTTCTGCTCCGCAGGGACCTGCTTCCCTGCTTCCTCCTCTCTCTCTCTGCCTACTTGTGATCTCTCTCTGTCAAATAAATAAAATCTTAAAAAAAAAAAAAAAGCAAACTACTGATACACACGCCATGAATGGATCTCCGTTATGCCAAGAGGGAGAAGCTAGAGGGAGAAGCCAGAAAGATAAAAAGAGGAAGAAGGAAAGAAAACTATTGTTCCTTTCATACAAGTCTAGGAAGTATAAACTAATCAGATCACGCAGCAAGGCAATGGTTGCTTAGAGGATGTGGAGACATGAAAGGAGGGGAGGGCTAACCCAGGGGAATGAGGAAATTCTGGGGGGCAAGGGACATGTTTACTATCTTGATTGTGATGATGGCTTCATGGGCACACACATGTCAAAACACATCGAATATGCTTGAAATATGTGTAATTTCTAATGTGTCAGTTACACTCAATTCTCCTTGAATTGATTTTGTAAAACCAGTACCTGCAAGGCCTCCTGGTCCGGCGGGGCCTGCCCGGGCCGGCGATACACGCTCAGCATTTCCTGCAGCACCTTCACGTGGCTCCGTACCTCCTCCACGGCACTGACTCTCTTCGACACCTTCTCGGATTTCTCTTGCTCCTTTTAGAAGAAAGAGGATGGAGGTGAGGAGCAAAGGCCTGGATAATGCATGAACGAGGGACGGGAAAGAGGCACTGAGCTGGGAAGCTCAGGGAAGTCACTAGAACACCAAGTGGGTGGGAGTGTTCACTCAGTGGCGAAGAAAACGCGGAGCCCAGAATTCCTGCAAAAGACAATGCAGTCCAGGGACCAGATTCCCAAACTGGACTCTGTCACTGGGACAGACATTGGGGTCCATGACATGCTTGGGGCTCTCGTACAGAAGTACTTGGAAAGTACACAGCAGGATTTCTGCTTCCCCTCACCGTCCTGCTGCCCTTCAGGGAGCCCGCGGCTGTGTCCCCCTTCTGGGCCCAGAGGACACCACTCTCCTCGGCCAACTGTACACCCACTCCCTCCAGCGCACACACAGTGGTGTCAAATGCTGCTTCTGCAGAGCCCCGTGGAAAAATGCCCACCTCCTTGACCAAGTTCTTGATCAGCCTGTTTGCAGCCTGAAGATCCTCTGGGTGGTTGCTCTTCAGAAGCCTCGTCAGAAGCTGCAGGGTGAACAAGAGCCGGTGAGACGCCGTCCCCCCAGTGTCAGATGGCCCAGAGCAGCAGTCACAACAACAGAATGCGGACTTTCCACGCATCCTCTTACCAAGTCCTCACAGTGAGGCCATGGAGGTATTAGACTCTCCCCACAGACCCCTGGGTTTCAACAGGGTAGGAAGGTGGAAGAGACAGCCCCCCGGAGACATCTGACAAAGACTGGAGACCTTTCTGGTTGTCACAACTGGAGTGCTACTGGCATCCAGCAGGTAGAGGCCGGAATACTGTAAACTCCCTACTCTCAACCGGACAGCCCCCAGCAGGAAAATTATCTGGCCCAAAATGTCACTAATGCTGAGGTTGTCCTGGGCCAGGCACCCTCTGATACACCTCGGTGATCTAGCAGAATGCCATGCCTGTGGGAGTCACTCAGTCTTCACTGATGGAGTAAAGGCTATACTGAAGCCCAGAGCATCTCAGTAGCTTGCCCCAGGTGACACAGGATTCTCTCTTTCTCCAAAGGCCGTGCCATCCCTCCTCTTCCTACCCTCTGCCTCTGAAAGGCACTGGCAGGAGAGGAACCAGAGGGAAAGACAGCCCAGAACCTAACAATCCTGCTTGTTCTGACCCCATGGCCACTGAACCTCTAGGTCCAAGGGAAGGTGCAGCTCAGGGGTGCAGTTAGAGGCAGAGGGTCCCCAAGCCTCTATCACTACACTGCTTGGAGCTTCCCTGATACTCATTTCTCAGACCCTATCAGTGACCAAGAATAGTAATGTCCAAACACACGGCCACCACCAGTGCTCAAGGGCCCTCTCTCCATGCAGAGGCACTCTAAAGCTATCCCCAGTTCTTCATCCCTGTCCTTCCTGATGTCTGAGGAGCAACAATTATTGGAGATGGTAGCAGAAGGAAGATGGGTAGGATCAGGCTTACTGGCACTAAAAAAAAAAATCTGAGTGAACACACAACCAATTCTTTCCACCATCTTCCCTCAATACCACACATACACTGAATACAACCTACCATCCACCTTGCCCACTTGGGTTATCCTTTTGTACCTTCCTTCCCTCGGGAATGCTTATACAGATAAGGTAGAGGGTACATTAACATGGCATTTACTATTTGGCCCATCCATAGAGAAAACATCCAGACCTTACGCTACCACTCTAAGAGCCTGCTCCAGAGAGAACTCACTAACCCACCTCCTCACATCCCCCCAACTTTGGTTCAGGGATCAGAGCACATCCCAGGGGATATTTCAGGAAAATCCCTAAAAGAAGGGGTATGCTGCCACCAAGGTCAGAGAGGGGCTCCTTACCTTGGACTTTTCTTCATCGGCATCAAAGATAGAGCTCTTGGGCCAGGGAGAAGGTGGAGGCAAAATTTTATCCACTGGTAGTTTAGGGTCTTGCTTTACGATTCCTAGAAGTTAAGATATGGTTATGGTACCCATTGACTTCAGTAGGAAGCAGCATCAAGTCCAGAAACTCCTAGTTTCTTATGTCCCATTGGGAACACACTGTCGATGACCTTAAAGGGACAGACCCAGGGTATGACCAAGCCTCTGCATCCTCCCTCAGCTGACCTCAAGGAACCAGCACAAGACAGGGACATCAGAACCAACCAAGTGAGATCAGCACCAGACCCTAAGGTTAGTGGGACATGGGCCTGACGCTACTATAAGAACACTGATCATTACATGCAGGTACGTAACCTCCCAGGGCCCAGAAGTTACTGTACAAGCCATGACCCTGAGTACATGTGATGGAGAAAAACAGTCCATCCTGAATCCAGGTTCCTTTTTTTTTTTTTTTTTTTTAAGATTTAATTTTTTATTTGACAGAGAGAGACAGCAAGAGAGGAAGCACAAGCAGGCAAAGGGACAGTGAGTAGCAGGCCTCCTGCAGGGAGCCCAATGCGGGGCTCAATCCCAGGACCCTGGTCATGACCTGAGCTGAAGACAGACGCTTAACGAACTGAGCCACCCAGGTGCCCCATCCGGGTTCCCTCTTCTACAAGGCTCTGTGGACTCCCAACTTCTGCTCAGGACACAGAAAGGTACAAGCTGCGTGACTCCACCCCCAACAACACAACACGGGACAACCTATAGATCTACCACTTTTCCCGAATCCATCATGGCGGAAAACACAGAGCCAAGAACAACCTGAAATCTAAGGGAAGGCAGGGCCTCCGAGGAAAGATGGAAGGCAACACCAAGGCGAAAAATTCAGATAAAGTTGTTTCTCAATTGTGTATAGGCTGGAGTGAGCAGGTGAGAGAACACAGAACCTCTGAGGCCCACACCAGCACAGGAGCAACAGGCTCTTCACAGGGCCTCACCAGGCACTCACGCAAAGACACGGCAAAGGCCTGCCGTCCCACTTCCGTCCTCTCTCCTCCAGAACAAGCACCTTCAAGTGCTGGCAAAGGACAAACCCTGCACTCCTCAGCTGTGGGAACAGACTGCAGCTTCCAAACAGAAAAGAAAGCCTTGTGGCCCTGGGGGAGGGGCAGGACCACAAATAGGTGCTACCGAGACCTGGAGACACAGCTCGGTTAAGCATCTGCCTCTGGCTGCGGTCGTGATCCCAGTGTCCTGGGGTCGAGCCCCACACTTCTCCCTCCCCCCGTCCCATCCACTCATGCTCTCTCTCAAATAAGTGAATAAAGTTTTTTAAAAAAAATGAAACAATCTTTAGTGCACCTCGGTGGCTCAGTGGGTTAAGCGTCTGCCTTCAGCTCAGGTCATGATCTCAGGGTCCTGGGATCGAGCCCCGCATCGGGCTCTCTGCTCAGCAGGGAGCCCGCTTCCCCCCTCTCTCTGCCTGCCTCTCTGCCTACTTGTGATCTCTCTCTCTGCCAAATAAATAAATAAAATTAAAAAAATAAAATAAAATAAAACAATCTTTAAAAAAATCATTTGTCTCAGACTCTACTGTCCTACGCAAGATGCCCAGCTTTCACCGAGAAAACCACAAAGCACACAAAAAACCAGAACGACTGTGACGCGGAAATGCAACGTAAGCCATGGAGTCTGACCCTGTTTCTTCAGCATCTGGTAAGCATCTCGGATCTTGACATCCTCTGGAAACCAGACAGTCCAACTGAAGAGTATTTCGATGACTCTTCCTTTAACCTTTTCTGTGGTCCAGGACCCCAGGTACTGAAAATAAAAAGGAAAGAATTACAGAGCTAGAAAGGGCTTAGCCAGCACACACTACCATGGCAGAGATGGACGCTGAGGTCCAGGGAAGCGAGCTGCCCCAGGCTGGTGGAGATGGGCAGCAAGAGAGACCAAACTGCCTGGTGCCCAGCCCCAGGGTGCCTTCTGGATTTCCAGAAGTCAACCTCCATAACTGCTCAAGTGAAGCCCACCGTATACTGGGCTAGGTTAGAGCCACAGGGGACACTCAGATTTTGAATGAGGCAAGATCAGTAAAATGTTTTTGGTCTTTATCTCTAGTTCCCAGCACAGTTTCAAAAACGCCTGGAATGTCCTAAGTTTTAGGAATAGCTTTTGTTATTCACCGTGAGCTCCCTTGGACCACATGTGAGTTTACGTTCACCATTCACGGTGGGCACTCAGTTTCAAGGGAGAGACTGGCCACTTCAGAAAAACCCACCACACGACAACAGGGTCGGAACTTTCAGCCCAACTCCCAGGAGGGGTGGGGACTGGAGACGGAGTTCAAGCCTAGCTAATGATTTTTTTTTTTAACATTTTATTTATTTATTTCAGAGAGACAGAGTGAGAGAGCATGAGAGGGGAGGTCAAGGGAGAAGCAGACTCCCCAAGGAGCTGGGAGCCTGATGTGGGACTTGATCCCAAGATTCTGGGATCATGACCTGAACCAAAGGCAGTCTCTTAACCAACTGAGCCACTAAGGTGCCCAAGCCTAGCTAATGATTTAATCAAATGCCTATATAACTTCAGATAAAAACTCTCAAACAAGGAGCTTTGGGGAGCCTCCTGGTTAGAACACATGGAGTTCTGGGAGGGTGGTATGGAAACTCTGCTCCCCATTCTCCCCAAAACTTTGGTCCATGGATCTCTTGCACTTATATCCTTTATAGCAAAAGGATAATAGTGAGTATTGTGCTTTCCTATCTTTTGTCTTTCCAGTGAATTACGAGACTATGGAGGGAGTAATGGGAACCCCTGAATTTGTAGTTGGTCAGAGGGCAGGAAGTAGCCTGAGGACACCTGAGACCCCTTGCTGGTATGTGACGGAGGCAGGTCTAGGTAGGACTGAGCCCTTAGTGTGTAGGGTTTATAATAATTCTGGGTAGTTAGTGGCAGAACTGAAATGAACTGAACTATAGGACCTACAGCTGATATCAGAGAATTACTGTGAAGTAGCAAAGAAGGGCTCCATCCATGTTAGGCACCTGAGAACGGTGTTGCTACAACAGGGGCTAGGAGAAAAGATGCAGAGAGCAGGCAAGAAGGGACATAAAACTGAAAGCCACACCTGGTATCTCTTGCCATCACCACCAGAAAACCTGTCCTCAAGCTTGAGTTCCTCACCCTTCTAGGTCAGCCACCCCAAGGCCATCTTTAAAGGGAGAACATGACAATGTTGACAACCAAAGGCAGGACTCAACTCACGAACATGACCAGCATCCTAGACCTTGGAGAGTGTTGGGGAAGGTCATTGAGAAAGATGTGACTGCCAGCTGACCTGTGAGCGGACTTGGGCAAACTAAGGTTTCTCACCCCTTCTGCTGTCCTTGGAATGTGGACACGGCCATGAAATAGTGATGTGGTGTGCGGAACACTTACACAGTACCTCTCACCGAACTCCCTTAAGGCCTCTATATCACTGAAGATGTGGCAGGGGTGGAGGCCATCCCCTCTGCTCTGTCGCAAACCAGAGATCAGCTGGCAGGCTCTATTGTGAGCAGGCCTAGCTCTGGACCAAGAAGGGGCACAAGGTCTGGAGGCTGGGGTAGGTACAGCACAGCGAGCAAGTGCAGTATAGCCAAGCCCAGGCTGCTCACCTTCGGGGACAACACTTTGATCAGCTCATTCAGGAAGCGGAATTTGGCCACCTCGTTGTGGAACTTCTCCCCACAGTGGTTCACACACATCTCCAGCACCTGCACGGACACAGGAGCCCCATGAGGAAAGGGAAAACCACTGGCTTCAGGGTTCATCTCAAAGCCGATGAATGTTTGCTGGAATCATGGCTAGTGTTTCCTCAAGACGACAAAGACACTGAAGTTTGAGGAAGGGTGACATTTTCAGATGAAGAAAAAATGCTACCTGCCTATCTGATCTGGCTATAATCACCAGGTCTGTGCCCAGGAGAAAGTTCAGTGGGGTGCATGCTGAGGCCGCCCCACCTTTTAAGGAGACCACGGGGGCAGGAGACGCTGGCTAGAGAATCCCGCCCTGCTCGGAGGCAGACACCTGATCTGTAGCACACAAGGACTATTAAGCCAGAGGCTACTGGCTGGCACTCAAGTGGCAAGATGGGCCTGCACACATCTTCTTTGGTCCACACTCTTGTTTAACATTTACAATTAGTCACAAACATTGATAAACTCTGAGAACAGATTCAAAAAAATCTGGATTTCTAATTTCTCCTGGAAAGCAAAGTTTTAGCAACACTGGGCCCAAGTGGTCCTGTGTCACAGCTGCCCTCTGCACACCAGCCTCGTGCTCTCCAGGGTTTCCATCCTCACCCAGCAGCTCACTCATTCGTGTGAGCGGTCAGGCCCTGCTACGTGTGGCACCTGAACCCGCCAGCCCTGGTCTCTGGAAGATGAAGGGAAAGAGAGCCTTCTCTTCCCCCAAAGCAGGCTCAATGCTGCTTTCTCGAAACAGACCTAGGATGGGGCCGCCCCAGTGCAGAACTCGCTATCGGACACTCTCTAGCACGTGCAACAGGCCTGGGGTCCAGCGCTCTCTAGCTGCACAGGAGGAAAACTTAAGCAAAGGGCCAAGCCAAACTCACCGTTAAGGCATAAAGAGCTTCTTTCTCTTGCGGAGACTGGATCTTGTGGGCCAGGAGCCAAGGCGCGTGGGTTGGGCTAAGGGAAAACAGAGAGACCTGGGATGTGGGTGGAGAGGAAGAAACCAACTGGTATGGCTTAGTACACTCTGTCACGTCGCCTCTTCCAGAAGCACGGGTCCCAAAGCAGAGGTGGAGTGACAGGCACACAGCCCACACACCTGCCTCTGAAGGAGGCCCACCCACCCCTGCTGCAGCTAGACCACCTGCCATCCTCCACCCTGCAGCCAACGCACCCCTACAACTTAAAGCTGTACGCTCAGGGCCAGACCTGTGTGTAACAAGGTCATGAGCAGTAGACCCTGTTAGATGACACTCAGTGCACACTGGAGTAGAAAGTGTCATCAAACTTTTCACTTAGTTTGAGATGCTGACTACGCAGCAACATGTAGATTAAACATGTGGATGGCTGGCATGATTCTTCAGTTCCCATCCAGATGCTTTGGAAACAGAAATAATATTAAAAACAAAACAAAACCAAAAACCAAAACCAGAAACCCACAAAATCTCACCCTTTTCCTACGTTTTCTTAAGAAAGAGGACACTTAAATTACGGAGAACACACTGATGTCTTTTGCATTGCCACATAACCTAGCTACATTCTATCCCTAACATTCAGGGGTCTCCTCAGCATTAGTCACTTAGAACACTCCATTTTTTTCCCCATTTGCTACCTCCAGGAAAATAATGTTCTCAGATCATGGAGAAAAAAAAAAAAAAAAAAAGGAAAGAAAGCCTCACTTTCTTTCTCTTAGGTCAAACAGACCCAAGAGACTGAAGCATGTACTTTGTCTGAGGTATCCTAAGTCAAGTGCATGTGTGTGAAGGTCACCTTACCCATTGGGATCGGTGTTCACCTGGTCACAGAAATTCTGGATAGCAGACCAATCCTGTTCTGACACGCTTGGGTCTGTGGCTTTATCTGTCAAGGAAATAAAAATAAAGAATGAAAAGAAATATACAACCACCCCTCCACAAATAAAGTGGTAGCCAAGGACGGTTCTAGCACACCTCCAGGGGATCAGACCCAGCAAGCAGACAGCTGAAACGGACAGGACCATGGCTATGCTATTGTCCACCATCAGGCACAGTGTCTGGCACAAGATACGGCCTCAGTGAAGACTGGCTAGCTGAATAAGCAAGTTTTTGTCCTGCAACAGACTCCCCTTCCGTGCAGTGGTTGGCCTACATGCGCCTCCCTCATGCCCCGTCAGGATTCCCCACTTTGGCCCTGCAATGAAGATGAGTGAGGGTCAGCATCCAGGAGGCTACCCCCACCCCTTTTGTTTTGAGAGAGAGAGAGAGAGTCAGAGGGAGAAGGAGAAGCAGACTCCCATTGAGCAGGGAGCCCAATATGCGGCTTGATGCCATGATCACGACCTGAGCCAACAGCAGCCGCTTAACCAACTGAGCCACGCAGGCGCCCGGAGGGAGGCTCCTTCTAACTTGCTCAGCTATGTGATGGTAAGGTCAGAATACACCACAAGGCTCTAGGTGGCTCCACTTGGTCATCTCATCCCCTCCTCAAAAACAATACCCCTACGTCTAACCCTCAGCTTACTGAGATCCTCTCTGACCGTCTGGGGTCAGAAGCTTCGCCATGCGTCAGCGACTTGTGCACTCTAAAAAAAGGACCTCCTTGCGTTCACTCCTCAAAATGCTGTTCCCTTCTGGAAACCTGCACATTCCCAGGGACCCCCCCAGATCCAATCACACTACGATCCCCCGATGAAATGTGAGGACACTATGCACTGAGAGGCTGGCGGCACAGCCAGAGATCTGTGCAGAAGGGGGATGATAAGAAGGCCTAAGATAAGACCCCAGCTCTGCTGAGGGGAGGGGTCATCGCTCCCCTTCCTGGTGCTGGATGACAGCAGCTTCTCCTGCCCTCCCCAACAATGCCGCCTAGAATTCCTGTCCAGCCACCCAAGAAGTGTGTCCGTTCCACACATCCTGCCCCAGATTAAACCAGGCTCTGCTCTTGCACAAAGGAGCTGCTGGGAGGCCTCTGTCCTATGCTTTCCTAACTACCCCCACTCCTTGCTGCCCACCTTTTGGGGGGCTACCCGTCCCTCCAGTGAAAGACCTCCCTGAAGGCTCCTGAGACAGAAGCTCTTTCAACCTCTGCAACTGGCTGATTCTAGGGTCCTGCTTCTGCTATTATTCCTTATGCCTAAACATTTACTCCTCTCCTCTCCTCTTAAAATCCCACCCATTTTTCAAGGCCCATCTGAATTTCCACCTTCTGGCCAGACCTCCTCTGGGCTGCTCCAGACCCTGTGATTCTCCTCCTGCCTCGGATTACAGAAGAGTCCAAGGTCAAGCAGAGTTTAACCTTTCATGACTGCAGCCACACTTCTGTCATGTGGAAGTCATGTGTCTCCCTAGCTCAACTGTGAGATTCAAAAAGCCAACTCCATTCTAAGTGAAAAAAGCCAACTCCATTCTAAGTGAAAAAAGACAACTCCATTCTAAGTGAAAAAAGACAGCAAGGGGGAACAAAGGAGCCACGCTGCCGTGGTCTGCATTCCCTCACCTGTTCCTCCTCCAAGCTCTTTCCTATGCTGGACCGCAAACCCTAGCCATCCTTTGAGCCCCAATTCAAATGCCACTTCAAAAAGACTTCCTCAATCTGTCTCCCACCCCTGCAAAACAGAAGCCTCTCTTCCTTCTCAGAAGGCCCACATATTACCTGCCCCCTTTCTTTTTTTTTTTTTTTAAAGATTTTATTAATTTATTTGACAGAGAGAGATCACAAGTAGGCAGAGAGGCAGGCAGAGAAAGAGGAGGAAGCAGGCTCCCCACTGAGCAGAAAGGCCGACGAGGGGCTCAATCCCAGGACCCTGAGATCATGGCCCCAGCCGAAGGCAGAGGCTTTAACCCACTGAGCCACCCAGGTGCCCCTACCTGCCCCCTTTCGATGGAGACCTCTAGCTCCAATCCTGACTAGCTACATGTCCTTGGGCTCTCAGAGCCTCAGTTCCCTCTACTATAAAGGAAAACAGCACCTTCCTCACAGGACACTCCTGAGTTTGTAAGATAGTGTCTAAAGTGCCTGGTATGGTAGCAAATATTAAAGTAATCAATAAAAGAGGCGCCTGGGTGGCTCAGTGGGTTAAAGTCACTGCCTTCGGCTCAGGTCATGATCTCGGGGTCCTGGGATCCAGCCCCGCATCGGGCTCTCTGCTCGACAGGGAGCCTGCTTCCTCCTCTCTCTCTAAAGTAATCAATAAAGTACAGCTAATCTTATTGTTCATTATAAGGCAAACTCTCTGCCTTTTACTTTAACAACACACGTATGTGTGACTTAATGCACCTAAAGGGAATAAAACTCTGGAAGGCAAAAGCCATATGTTCCTTGCAGTGCTTAGTACAATGCCTTCCTCAAAGGCACAAAATAATTACTCATGAAATAAATTATTTAAAGCAGTGATTCTCAGAGAGCCTGATTAAGGATGTCTGACTCATCTTAAATAATTCTGCTTGATTTTAGCTTTCTGAAGTTTTAGTTCACTACCAGGTCAAGATTGATGCCTCTGGGGCATTCAGAAACTCAATCCATGACTGGACCTAGAGCCGAGATCGGCAGGATCCAGCCATCCTCCTCCTCACCCCCTCCTCCCCGCCACTAAGTGAAGAGAATAAGACAGCCACCAGTTTTTCCAAGGAAAGGAAGAAGATACTTCTATGAGGTTAAGTTAGGCTCCAAATCCTTAACCAAGGCAAAGCAGGAAGATCCATAAAATGTAAGTTTATTTGTAATATGAAGATTCCTTCAAAGTTTATCTCAGCCCCCAAAGAGCAGTAGTAGTAATAGCTGCTATTTTTTTTTCTTTTGTGAAGAAGTTACTGTTACCAGCCACCAGGCTGAGTGTTTCCCAAGCCTCTCTTGGGTCTAGCTCAGAAGGGAGATTGCTACTATCCTCTCACCATTTTAGAGGCAAAGAAGCCTGCCCAGCCACAACTGTTACTGGAAAACAGCAACACAACTACAGTCCCGGGTCTGCCCCAAGCCAGGGTCCAAACATTTCTCTCAGTTCCTTGACCAAGGCAAGGCCTCTTTGGGAGCTAGCTTCAACCTCCTCGCCACTGTTATCCACTCCCTAAAGCAGGAAGACCTGTCTCATTCACATTCGCGTCCTCCAGAATGTCATGCACACAAATCTCTGCTGAATGAATGATGATTGGCCTTTCTCTCTGCAGAGCCTGGCCAGTTGGCTGGACCGATGTCTGACTCCAGGAGAGGGCCAGCCTGGTTCGGAAATAACAGGGTCTCTCATAACATGATGCCAGCCTGCCAGGCTGTTTCAGAGTCTTCTTGCGACTCCAGAGAAAACGACCCCCCCAAGGCCCAGCCACTGGGTCTCATCAGACCATAGTCCCAACCCGGGGTGCAGGACACCCATCTGCCCCAAGAAGTGGCAGGTGGCCAGCAGGGCACGGCCAGGAAAAGGACTTCTCAGGACTGCTCCAGGCATTAAAGTGGCTGCTTCAGCCGGCACTTGGACAGGACAGAGAACACTAGTGCCATGTATCTGCTTAATAAAAGCTGTGTTCCGGGCGCCTGGGTGGCTCAGTGGGTTAAAGCCTCTGCCTTCAGCTCGGGTTGTCATCCCGGGGTCCTGGGATCGAGCCTCTTGTCGGGCTCTCTGCTCAGCAAGGAGCCAGCTTCCCCCCTCTCTATGCCTATCTCTCTGCCTCCTTGTGATCTGTCTGTCAAATAAATAAATAAAATCTTAAAAATAAAATAAAATAAAAGCTATGTTCCTATGCATTTTAAGCCCACCACAGGGTGAGAGGTATTAAGAAAACAGCTGAGACCTCCAGCAGTGAGTGACATGGGTCATCTAAGAGTGACTAAATCCGAAGCCAAATCATCTCACACCAGCTACCAATGAACCACGAGAGTCTGACTCTGGCGCCAGGAGCAGCCTACACTGGACAGGGGAACCCTGAGGCTGTGGGGAAGCGGAGTGCTTCCTTGAATTCTAAGGAGCACTTAGAACTCAATCCTTTGGGAAGTACCCACCGACCCCTACCATCCAGCAGTCCTTCCGTTAAGCCCACGATGGGAGCCCGAGACCCACCATACGAATGCCCTGTGCTAGACTCTGAGATAAAGAATGAGCTAGCCCTCAAGAAGCAGGGAGAGTGGAAACAGACTGCAATCTGACCATACCCGATCCCCAAGAGAACCACAAAAGTGAGGCTGGAAGGAAGACAGGACATATCACCTGGGAGCAGGTCGAGGGGGGAAGGAGACAGGACTCTGCCAAGCATCCCACCAAAGGCACGTAGGATGGCCCAGAGCCCCTGGCAGTACCGCTGTGGCTACAGTCCCAGAGACCCACGGGGACCCAGCGCTGCTTTCAACATCCCACTAACAGGGAACCGGTTACATCAATCATAGTAAAACCTCACACGGTGGGGCGTCGGCTCTCAGCAACAAGAACGAGGCAGCTCTCTGGGAAGGCATGGGGAACCACCACCAAAAATCAATGGAGTTTTGGAGTGGGGGGTTGCAGAATGCACAAAAGCTATTTCTTTTTTAAAAGATTTTATTTATTTATTTATTTGAAAGAGAGAGAGAGAGAGGGAACACAAGGGAAACAGGAGAGGGAGAAGCAGGCTTCGCACCAAGCAGGGAGCCTGACATGGGGCTTGATCCCTGGACCCCGGGATCATGACTTGAGCCAAAGGCAGACGATTAACAACTGAGCCACTCAGGTGCCCCTATTTGCATTTTTTATACTCCTGGTAACACCTTCCTTCCCCCACCCCAATTTTTTTTTTTTAAGATTTTATTTGTTTATTTGACAGAGATCACAAGTAGGCAGAGAGGCAGGCAGAGAGAGAGAGAGACGGGGAAGCAGGCAGCCCACTGAGCAGACAACTCCATGCGGGGCTCGATCCCAGGATCCT